TGATATCTTACTTTTACTTTTATCTTACCTTTACACTGCAAAGGAATTGAAGCTTCTAAATGATGGCAATTAAGCTCACATGCAGCTATTCATTATGTTGTATATGGCAGGTAATACAGCAAGCGCAGTTCTGCAATCACGACTGATGAACTGTTCTCGAATCAGGTGGTGAGGTGAGTGATGTCTAGGTGGCAATGTTTTGCTTAGAAATATGATTTGCACGCATGGTGCACAAGATCAAAACATGTTAGTACATGTATTGCGGCGTTCAAACAGAGGAAACTTAAATTTAATAAGGTCACATATTTTCGTTGTGGTGTCACAAAGAGGAACTATTTGAAAAAAGAAAATAAATATAATTTTTTGATATGTTTTTTTTCTTCCAACCTTAAAGTAAAATATAGAATTTACACTGCTAGGGATTAAAAAAAAAAAACCATTGCAAAATCCTCTTTTTTGCCTCAAATCGTTATCCAAACTATCGTCTATAACCTATAAATTGTAATAGCTGTTGATGGGAAGTTTAATTCCCTTTCATATGACACCACACACATGGTAAAGTGAGCTTCCCTTAAAAAGGAATCTCCAAAATCGTTCAATTGTAGCTGTACAGCAATGCAGAATAATTTCAAGGTAGTTCACTTAGAAATTGTGCAGGGAGGTGCCCTAAACACGTTGATACCCAACGGCCCTTTACAACATTCCATGTATCCGAAACCTACTTTGCTCTCCAAAATCGTTCAACTGTAGTTGTACAGCACTGCAAACGTTTCACAAAATCAAAAGGAAAAAAGAAAGAACAAGAATAGAAGAAGAAGTGCCGTTTTTATTTAAATTATCTTAATGAGGGATAAATGTAGACTATCCTGTTGAAATATAATTGTCGTGAATATTGTAATATGATGTTATAAGAAATAGGCCTACTACTTTTAATATGCTACTACATGTAATTATATTTTGACCTATTTTATCATCGCGTTTGTATTTTAAAACATAGTGACGTTTCCTCAAGCATGGGCTGTCATTCAATTGCATGTCTTTCCATGAATAAAAATGTGAACTTTAATATCAGTGTTAGCTTTTAGATGAATCGAACCTCATCATTGTCATGTTAAAATAGTAAACGAATGATCCATTAACGTCGTCAACTAAAAAGTTAATTTTCTTCTCTCTTTTTAATTCAACATGGCATATTGGCCTTGAATAGCGAAAACTGTCTTTTAAATAATGGGCCTCCATATCTAATTGCCATATAAAGATGTTCACTATTTGCCTATTAATATGTAGTAGAGTAAATACCCTGGTAAGGAGCAATAATTTTTATTTTATTTTGTTTGCCCCCCAAAATTTGCAAACCGCACCGGCCGATAATTCGCTCAGTAGGGTTGGGGGAGGGGGGGGGGGGGTGGGGAGCTGTGAGCACATATATATTTGTTTGCGCTCGTAAATGTATAAATCGCACCCCCCCCCCCCCCCCTCCTTGAACACCAGGGGAGGGGCCCCGTCTCCAAATAAAGGTAAATTTAAAGTGTCTGTTTTTCCCCAGGGGAGGGGGCCCGGGTCCCCCCTCCTGGATCTTCCACTGCCCTCGACATAATGTAGATAATCAGGGTACATTGATGAGCATTAACCAAACTACCTCTATCGCTACGTTGTATTGTGTGTTTTGTTGTGTGTTTTTTCGGTATTTGAATTTCCAATATTTTTTTACAAAGCGACATTAGAAGTTCATCGATTATTTTATACAGCCATGAAGCCATAATAATAATAATAAATAATAATAATAATAATAATCTTTTAAAGTCCACTCCAAATTTTATTAAGCCGAAACGGAAATTCTTTTTGCCCAATTGATCGTGAGCCCGGCAGCCACTTAGCAGCGCCAGATCGACGTTGCTCTATCCCTTATTGTTCCTCTTTGCTAATCTCTTCCAACCGCATAGCATTATTTGGTTTCAAAACATAATGCACAAACATAACTATGGATTCTCTTCAGTGTAACACATACATGTTTATTTCATCTCACAGCAACCAACAGCAAAGGAAGAATGAAAGCTATATTAAATGGTTTGCAACAAACCGCAAATATTCAAATTCGAAAAGTCATATTTCATAAATGTAACGGAGTTTGACCGACACTGCATGAGCACATAAAGGCTTGTGATATCACTGCGAATATACTATAACATGTCCTATCATCTGTACTATCAAAAGACTAGGAATCAATTTATTATTATTATAATGAAATAGATATTTCTAATATATTTATGTACTAATACATGTTTGTATAACTCATAAGTCTCAAGTTAATAGCTCCACCCTGTCTTGATATGTCAGGTATGCACTATAAGAGAGATCATCTGCTGCATCAAGCAAGCTTGATTATTACAATTCACATATTTTGCACTCTACATGAAACATACGTATATATTGTATAAACGTTTCGATATTGGCGTGAAGAAAATGGTCTAGGAACGTGATATTAAGTTTGTATGCCGTGTATATTTGTTTATACAATGTATTTGTTTTTGTATGTGTTTGTACTTCAGAACCTGAAGAAGGCCTCACAAGCCGAAAGCTCGTAATAAACTTGTAAAGTACAGCTACGTCTCACGTTCCTAGACCATTTGCTTCACGCCTACATATTATGGGACACCCGTTGTCATGTCAGAGTTGAGAATTCTCGCACTTTTATATATATATATATATATATATATATATATATATATATATATATATATAAATTTGGTCTATTCCTCCGTACAGTGCTCAATGCTTATAGGCAGAGCAATATATATATTGAATAAGGCAGACTAATGGAACATGGTTGCAACTCCGAGTTTCACGCCTTACGAGCGATCATCAGGCAACTGGTAGCATTCTTAAAAGTACATGATTACTCTACCTGGGTGCAAATACATTCAAAATAAGAGTTATACAATACAAAACAATAAGATTTACTCATGGGTGAAGGGGCTATTGTAATTGCTCAGGTACTGCGATGGAATTTTAAACATGTTTTGTATTGTATAACTCTTATTTTGAACGTATTTGTACCCTGGTAGATCAATCATGTACTTTTAAGAATGCTACCAGTTGCCTGATGATCGCTCGTAAGGCGTGAAACTCGGAGTTGCAACCATGTTCCATTAGTCTGCCTCACTCAATATATATATGTATATATATATATATATATATATATATATATATATATAAACGAATCCCACTCAAAACATTAAATAAACTGCTGAAGGCAATTGTTTGTTCACATAGTCAAGTATATCAGAAGAATAAATCTTCGTCATTGTCAATAACACCTATGAACAACACATTGGAAATAAATCATTTATACAAAAGACTGAAATCGTATGTAAATGTTCTATTTATGATTAACAAACAAGTTGATCCAAGTGTGGATTTTTTTTCTAAAGTCCGAAATTAAATATTCTACTAGCAACAGCTACAACAAGTTTTATCTTTAATTTTTCGGCATTTTTCGTATGTTTAACAACATCCCCCTCCTATATTACTAAGCCTCGTTCGGATATGACGGGCGTTTTTTCTTTTATGATGAAGTAATGAAGAAGTGTAAAACGCTTCACATATCTGTTTCTTGCCCTCAGACTTTGCATCCATTAACACACACACACACACACACAATGGCCCGAATTCACAAAAGAGGTTTGTCGACAAACCTTGGTTTTAGTGCGTCATTATGACGCGTTTCGACGCGTTTTTACAAACCAGGTTTGTAAAAAAACGCGTCAAAACGCGTCATATGACGATAAACCTCGGCTTGTCGACAAACCTCCTTTGTGAATTCGGGCCAATAGGTGGGCTGTATGACATTATCTGATAAATCAAACTCTGTTAAGCCTTTCCAAGCCTTTTTAAAACTAAAATGATTATTTTTCTTAGAGGGTTGACTAGTCAAATCGACTACCTTCTTTTATGTACACTATAATCTATCTGCGCTTATAAAAAACCACTGTGGTTTTAAGAGGCCTAAAAACCTGCGGATGGCCTAATCAGTAAAATAATTTTATATTGGTGTAATTGTGACGAATTAAGATTTATCGTTTTATTGATACATAATGTACAAATAAAGGAAAAGCACGGGATATTGCACTTGGTATTCGTTTTCCTGATACTCCTAAAAAATAATGATGAGTTACTAATTGATCACATATTCAATCTCAAAGGAACTTTGACCCTGTAACATAAAAAGTTACAATTAAACTTTTTTCCTAAAAGTTTAGTGTATCTCCTTTAATCAATGGTACTATCATGAATGATAACGTATGAATATTTTCTGTCACAGATAAATATAATCACGATAATGCATGATAAAATATATTTAATGCCGAAGATGGGCTATATATAACATAATTTTACGATCGATTGTATATACATTTTTGAGTTACAGGCCCCTATTAGCAAAACACTCTCTGCCGTTATATTCTATGTTTTGTTCATTAAGAAAATAATAGATGTAATTGTAGATACTCACTTATCCAATTTAACAGCCAACTAGGCAACTACTACATTATTCACAAGTGTTTTACATACATTTCGTTTAATATATTCTTTATACTGTTAAATATCCACTTTTAGATATTAACAATTGCTCAATAAATATGCCACTGCTAAGTATTCATTTTTAAATATGTACACTGTCAATACCACCCGGTTTAAGTGTGACTGATACTACGGCGCTCTAGAACCTCAATGAACTAATTACTACTCGGGTGTCCATTGACCTCACCTGGGTGGAGAGTAGCAAAATAATGTAGACTAATGTCTTGCCAAAGGACACTTGTGCCGTGATACTTGTGCAAGTCTTAAAATGATGCGAATATTCCTACTTTTTAAAACCTAATAGCAATAACAAATAATAAGAATATTTATATGAACAATGATAATAATGATGAAATTAATAATAATTGTATTGTAGTAATACTAATAATAATGAATAATAATGATAACAATGTTCATGATAATGTTCATGATAATAATCATGATGATGATGAAAATAAAAAACATCAAAACAATAAAATTTAGTATAAGTCTTCATGCTGTAAAACTGCCGTCTATTCAGCTATGCCAAGAACTTCATATCTCATGGCCTGGTGAATCTTCCACGTGAGTGGGTGTATTCTGACGTATCGAGCTGTGATTGGTCGAGGGAACAGTATGGTCTCGGGAGTGGTGTTATCGTAGTTTGCTGCGTAGACCTGAAGATCATGCGAACGAAATTAAAAATAATTTAAAGGGCACTGCATGGATTTTTCAGTTCAATTCAAAATTACACAATAATATGTCTCGCAGCATAAGCTGAATTGCAAATGTGTACTCACATATATAGTAAAATAAAATTTGAAATACAAGTACATGAACTGCTATCGATTAGACATGATAGAATAGGGTAAAAACGATGTCTATTAAATCATGTAAGCTGGGTATGAGGATCGGATATGATTACATAAAAACATAAAAACAACCTATCCAGGGGGAAAGGTGACCTCTATTGCCAAAATATATAAATTAACGATTAACTTTCTGTATTTCTAATATGATCAAGCAAATTCAATTCTCACATAGACCTTTGTCACAATTTTGCAATTTTGCCATGAAACATAGAAATAGATGTTCTGGGAAGAGGTGCAAACATAATTTGTGAGCGTTATCATTGTATTATGCAAGTGTGAAAAAACATCAGATTAAAAATGTTCCCTGAAAAGAATGGCTCTTCAATTGCCTTAATATTCTACATATGGCATGTAACATCATAAAAATCGGGACGGATTTTTAAGCCACATGTTCGTGTAGTCCCATATATACAACTTTCTGTGTATAGTGCTTGTAAGTTTACCAAGACTGGGCCAAATTTCTTATTATTTTGATAATTCCAGCACCCTTCAGTATACACCTGGATGCTAGATGATCAACCTTTTCTGATCGATTCCAAAACGTTTCTTTCACAATGCAATCGCGTGGACATTGTGAGCAGCAGTGTACGTAAAATTGAAGCAGTGTTAGAATATCCTGCTTTTAATTGTCTCAGGGGCTGTCGGTCTAGGGGACATTTCGGAATGTTTCGTCTCGTGGAAGCCATTCTACTGAGATGTCCTCAAAATTTATTTCGAATTAAACAGTCAGACACAACTTCGGAAAACCGAGCACGGGTAAATAGGCCGGAGAGGGCGTATAATGTACGATGAATATAGAACCGTCAAAGTTCAAAATTGGAAAAATCTTGTTAATAAAGTAAACCTGCTCTTGATATATTTTTGTATTAAAAAAAGAATGCTGCATGTCAATTATATTCTTGAAAGTCCTTGAATGATACGTCATATGCAATATAACTTTATTCTAATGACAAACGTTTGAGGAAAACAATTATCCCCGGCATTATTTTGTTTTAAATGTAGATCATGGTCGACGAAGTAAGATTTTGTACACACTGCCTCGCATTGAACAATAAGGGCTCTATTTTCATCATGCGTTCTACGCCGTTTTCGGCGTTTTTACCTGTGCTCGGTTTGTGTCTGACTGACATGGTAACTTACTTTTTGTTCACCACATTGTGGTTCCAAAGCATAGGTCCATGTCACGTCATCCAGCGAATAGGACACCTTGACAGAAGTAATCCATTGTACCGACCCGTATCTGCCTTGTACGATAACACCAGTGACGGTAGAGGTCTTTCCAAGATCTATCTGACTCGTCAGTGCGTTAATAAAAGTAAGAATTATTAGCAAGTAACGAATAAATAAATGAATATGAATATATATATATATATATATATATATATATATATATAATAAATATATATATAAATATATATATATATATATATATAATGAAAGAAATCTGACAAACGAAAACAACTTTGCAAACAACGACTCTGTTATAAATAATATCCAAAGTTCTTTGGAAGCGCATAGAGACGTTAATATGTGCTTTACCACAAAGAAATATTATACATTTTTTTATTTAATACACAATTTTAATAATGACAGTTCGAGAATAATGGTGCGTAGCTCTATCAAAGATTCCCATTGCTGACATCCCTTTTGGGATTGGGTTAGAACGCAAAAACCATAATTACTAGACCATGGAGACGGGTAAGTAGTTTCGGCGAAACCAGACTCAGTTGACTGACCGTTTGAAAACAAATCTAACTTCTTTGTCGGGGGAAGGGGCAGGTGAGTTTTTAATAATGACGAGCCGTGTGCTTAAGTTGGGACCTATCTTTGAGCATGAATACATGCTAATTCGCTTGATATATATATATATATATATATATATATATATATATAGTGTGTGTGTGTGTGTGTGTGTAAGATGACAACGAAAAAGACATATGAAGAAGAGATGTTTTATGCTTTAAATCCAAATTTTTCATTAGGTCACACATTTTAGACGTTCCCTAACATTTTTATTTAGTCATCAAGACATAAAAACTAAGATTAGAAATCCCTATAGCGTTTCCAACTCTGAAGGGCAATACGAAACTACTACTACTAAAGTAAGCAATACCCATGGAAACGCTTTACAGCTCAAAGAAATATCTTTGCAAAAGGTATGAACACGTCACAATTATATGTATAGTTATGAGCAAGTTCTTGCTTTCAAAGCAGTAGAGGGAGGATAAATCATCAATGATCATATTCCAGTTTAGGGTTAGGGTGAGGGTTTCATTTGGAATTTACGTTAGGGTAAAAATTAGGGTTAGATAATAATCAGTCTGCTGTTGAAGTTAAGAATTCGGTAAGTGTACGATCTTCAGGGAGAACGACATTAATGCTGACGTGGCTTTCCTGGGTAAACAAAATCGTTATTATAATTAGTGTTATCAGACTCACCTTGACCCGTTTATCTTTGTCATCATTCCTGGCAACCCATGCTGCTTTTATGTCAGCCGTCACTCCACCGTTCAATCTTCCATCTGATGCAGTGTAAGCATTATTATACCTCGACGAGGAGGTGAGACTAGAGTCTGGGATTCGTCCATCTTCCACTCCCATTCCTTCCCCTCGGATAGGACGTGAACAGCTAACTTCTTCCTGGTTCATCGCAGCTGAACACCACAAATTTAAAAACAAAATGTATAAATGAGACCTAGTAGATTTCTTATGGTTTAGAAGTTAGTTGCTAATACCCTTATAAAAAAAAGTACCATAGTAACCATGGTAAAACCATAGTATAACAATGGTACTCTATGGTACCCGTGGTACTACCATGCAAGAAGTTCTTGCCAAGAACCATGGCATTACCATGGTTATAAAACAAGTACCATGGTATACCATGGTACTTCCAAATTTGTACATGGTACATTGTAGGTACTTGGCAGTTGTATGGTTCAATATTATGTTTGATTGGTTTTAGCAATGTTTCAGTACCATGAATGTATTGTATAAGCATGGTTCATGTATCTTTCTCCTTTTGTTTGCAATTAATTCACATATCCATCATGGGGAAACGAATGTTTTGTTTGTTTTGTTTGTTTTATTGATTTTATTTCTGCGTTCAAATAACAAATACAAGGTTATACATGTTTACATAAGTATTACATGAATAGAAAATCACGTCTTATAATATTATTCAATAACTATATTATACAAATGGTGCACAGGTATCAATGGGTTGGTAGGAATCGTTTGCACAAGATGACTTTGGGCATGCTTTAGACCTGCCCAAAGTTACCGCGTGCACACAATTCCACCGACCCATCTGCGTATCATCTCTTTCATAGAATGGACTTTAATCTTTGAAAACAAAAAAATACCGGACGCATGAAATCATTTAACCGGACGCATGACATTTTTGACTGGACGCATGAAACCAAATAAAAAAAAATAGATAAAGAATCATGAAGAAAAAAAACAGAAACAATTAATATATTTATTTAAACAATGTTTAAAAAAGAATTTAAAAAATAAAAAATATTAACAAAATTATAAGAATTGTAGGAAGAAAACCAAATTATTTTTAAATAAATGATATCGCGTGTATCCAGTAAACTTATGTATTTTAATTTCCTTTAGTTTTCTAATATGTTTAAAAAGTACAAGTATGAATCTGACTTAAACTTATCAGATTAAGAAATGCATTAATGTGCAATTATTATCAGGGGAAAACAGGAGTGGAAAACTCTCAACTTTTATTTGGACATTTATCAATGGTGTGTGACGGAAAAACGACAGTGTGTACATTTAGAAATTGTGCAACAGCTTGAAATATCATAAAGAAGGTCTGCACTACTCAAGACTATATACCTACAAGCCCCTAATCCACACAGCGCACGCAGGTACTAGGTATACACACAGAACCAAGCATTTGAAACCGTTGCGGATTCCCGCATTTTTGAATGGCTAATAAGCTATGTGTACTATGTGTACGTGTCAAAGGATCGCTGCACAAAGCTTGCATTGTGAATACTGCACGCATCATCTGCATAGCTAGCTGTATAGCTTGTGCTTGCACTATTCACAATGCAGCTTTGCCTAGACAGGAGCTATACGTACTGAATCTCGGTGTTTTCTAGATCTTCAAAATCATGCTGAATACAGAGTTTTCCAATTCCTGCTAATCTACAACAGTATGGGTAAGTTTAAGATTCATCTACTTTATTAGGTGGTCTGTCATCGATAGACCACCTATAACTCAACATCAGTATGGTAAATTTCTTTCAATTTTGGTACAGTCATAGGCCATTGTCATAAGACGTGACAGCAGCATGTTCAAGTTCATCAAGTTATCCTGACGTCATCCAGGCGCCATTTTGTGAAAATCAACTCATGATCATATCTTTACAACAGAAAGTCGTTTCTCATTCATATTAATCATGATCAAGGTCAAAATCCGTCCGGTAAATTTCAGGTCGAAGAACGCGCGCGTACACGTACGTCCGCGCGTTATTGCGCGCGTAAAATTTTAAAAATGCTCAAAATCACTTTTTATTTAAAATAGAGTACGTTTCAGGCCATTTTAAGCATGTCGCAAAAAAACGCGCACACGCGATTGCGCACGCGTTTTCGTTTGTGATGGCCGAACGCGCAATAACTCCTCCTAATTTGTTTTGGCATGATATTTCTCATTTTTTCCGAACAATTTGATACCTTGTTTATCTTTTTATGAGCATTAATAATGGAATGAGCGTCCGTTCAATGATTTCCGTGCGCACGAGTTCTTGTAATACATAGCATATGTGGCCAAAAAACATGCCTTTACCAAATCCTTAATAGCTCTTTAGGAAGCCAGTTGACCCCTCATTGCTTTTCATATTCAAATAGAATATGAATCGTAGATTTGATTTCATGTCTCATTGGGCCATTAAGTATATCGTGACATCATCATAATGGGCTTGGAACTCAAAAACGAATTTGCATATTATGACGTCAGCAAATTTATGGAAAATTTATTGTATCTCTCTAAATATTGATCAATTTTCTTCCAAATTTCGATATGTTGTAGCTAAGTAGATTTTCTACAAGATAAATAGTCATCTTTTATCATTATAATAACGTCATCATGGTGAAAATTTCAATTAAAGGCGGCATTTCAGAATTTTCTTAATTTGCGTGTTATGTCCAAGGAAGGTGAATTTCGTTCACATCATGAATCTACATGACTTGAAAAAGTTATTAACATGTGAGGAAGGTACTCACATAAAAAGCGTGAGTGCGCCCTCTAACTTAATATACATTATAGACTGTGAGTTGAATAAATCACATAAACTGGATACTATTACAATCGTCGTCATCCCTATCACCATCATCATGATCATCAAAGTATACTGGAACATCAATTCGTCCCATATATATATATATGATTCTACTCTCCTTTAAAGATGTTTATAGTCTTTCAGTTATTTTTGATAAGTTGTAGCTGAGAAAATTCTCTACAAGATCAGTTTTCACCATTTTTTTTTCTTCATTTTGATGACGTCATCATAGTAACAATTTCATTTGAAGGCGACATGTCATAATTTTCTTAATTTACGTGTTATATGAATTAATCTACATGACATTGTTCTTTGAGCAGTATCTTGACTATTTTTGCTCTATTTTCTCCAAAATTTTGATATGTTGTAGCTGTGACAATTCTAAACAAGAGCAGCATCCACTAGATTTAATAAAAGACCACCTAAATCGTCCCAATGACGAGTTAGATTTCTCGTTTACAATATTTACATAGATCTAGTCGATGTCTAGATAGTTATTTATGACATTGTCAACTGGGACTTTAAACACCTTCCGACAGAATAAGACTGGACATGTATGAACTATGATCCCATGTACGTATTTAAATTTGATGTAGGATCTCGATGGGTTTATGGGGCATATCATTCAAAGCAAAGTTTGTCCATTAACATACACATTAACTCTGCTGTGAGTACAGTCATTATTCGAAGGATTGAATGTTTTATTCTTTTTAGAAAATAAATAGAATACTGCATAAAAAAATTTTTAAAAATTAAGCTAATCGATGTCATGTCTGCCTCTGTGACTGTGTTATTTTATGTTGACAGTTGTTGATATTCATATTCGTTTTTGTTTATAGACTATAATTCAAAATTGCCTTTTTAAAATTACAGATATAAAGCCTACGCAACATGACAAATGAGTAGTTTCCATATCGACGTCGTTCTTTATAATCATCTTGACCAAAACATCACCATGTCTTCGTCGTCGACCTGAGCCATTTTGGGGTTTGAACTTTGAAGTTTGTTGCAAACTCTAATAATGAATTGGATATTGGCATTATCGACTTATGTTCTGTCTTTGAACACCGTCGACGTCGATCTTGAAGGTAAGAACCTCCATTTTACCTACTTCGTCTTCGATTTGCGTTTCGTCGTTTGCAGTTCTGATCCTGACTCCGACTAATGATGACTTTATCGACTTACGTTCTGTCTTCGATCACCGTCGACGTCGAACTCTATACCGAGTTTCACCATCGCCGAACATGGACTCCGTATCCGATCGACATCGCCGGCTCTTGGCTTTCATTCATCATTCAGTTTTGAACTGTACTTTGATCACCGACGTCATCTATGTTCTACCAAGGAGGTCTAGCTACTAATTGTTTCTTCGAATTTTTGTCTTTCGACTAAATTCGAGTAATACATCGTCGACGAATCTCGCACCTCCGCTGGGAGGACAGTTTGTATAATGTACTATGTAATCTGAATATAAACGGCGGTCTCCCGCTATAGAAAAGAGATTAACCACTTAACTTATAACATTGTTGTGTTCTGAAAGTGTTTAGTGTCATAATGATGTAACAAGCTAAAGAAATAGACTTCAGTTTTCGACTGTATTTTTTTTTTTTTTTTTTTTACGCGAGTTAGATTTTTAGCTCGTTTTAATAAACGCTTTAAGAAAAGTAGGCATATTGTTTCCATTGTCAGGCGCGTAGCCAGGTGGGGGCGGTGTGGGCGGTCGCCCCCCCCCCCCCCCTAAAAAAAAAAAAAAAAAAAACGTCGGCCAAAAAAAAAAGAGAGAGAAAGAGAATAAAATAAGTAAGAGGACGTAGGAAGAAAAAGGGAAAAAGGAGTCGAGAACGGTACAACGAATCGTCTCCTTTCTCTAATAATTTAATGAAACGTCAAAGCTTCCGCGCTTCGCGCGGAAAGGGGTAAAATAAGGATTAGGAGTCGAGAACGGAACAACGACTCGTCTTCTTTCTCTAATAATACGTCAAAGCTTCCGCGCTTCGAGCAGGAGGAGGGGGGACAAGGATTAAGAGTCGAGAACGGTACATCGAATCGTCTTCTTTCTCTAATAAATTCATGAAACGTCAAAGGGGGGGACTGAATACAGATAAGGATTAAGAGTCGAGAAGGGTACAACGAATTGTCTTCTTTGTCTAATAATACGTCAAAGCTTCCGCGCTATGCAGGAGGGGCGGACTGAATTCAGACAAGGATTATGAGTCGAGGAAGGTACAACGAATCGTCTTCTTTCAAAGCTTCCCCTCCCTGCACCCACCCCCCCCCCCCCCCCCTAGGGAGAGCGCTTCGCGCGCTCTTTAAGTGATTCGCACGCTTCGCGTGCTCACTACCGCCGCCCCCCTAAAATGAAATCCTGGCTACGCGCTTGTCCATTGTTTGATGTTTGATACGTCATATGATCATTCGACAGTAGTGATCAACATGATTGTGATATGTCTTTTGTTAACAGATCATGTTTGCGAGAGAAGTGGCTGAACCTTGAGAAAATTGATAATTGTGTTGAAACTGGACTTCATGCCAGCTCCTGTCATTTTTAGTCTACTTTGGAGACCAGCATACTCTTTCAAAGTAAATAAACAAGGGGTGGCAGATATTGTGAGGAATACTGTGTTGAAAGTGCATTAAGGTAGTAGATTTGGAAATGATTTTTTTTTTTAATCAATCATGCAATATCAATGCTATCTTTTTATTTAGCTACATGCAGAGTGGAAAGGCAACTGTGTACGTTCAGTAACATTGTAGTACAAGGTACAGATACGGAAGAATCATGGTAACGAGATGTATGGGAAAACTATGTTAACGAAATATATGGGAGAACCATGGTAACGAGAGTTATGGGAGAACCAAGGTATCGAGAACCAAGGTATCGAGAACCAAGGTATCGAGAACCATGGTACCGAGAACCATGGTTTTCAGTACCATGGTTTGCATGGTTCTCAGTACCATGGTTACCATGTTTTTGTGTGTAAATTACCACCAACCATAAGAACCATGGTAACCATGGTACTGAAAACCATGGTTTTACATGGTACATTTTTATAAGGGTAGAGTTTTCAGAAAACCAAAACTCTTTAAACTCCTTATAGTTCAACAACTGCGAGAACACCACAGGCTAGCATCATAGGCATACCCACAGCTCACCTCCTGCTAACTGAACATGGACAAAAGTGACCTTTCAGAATACCGCCCCTTAGCAACAACAGAACGAACGAGAACTTAGGACTAGCAAAAAAAAAAAAAAAAAACAGTTTTAGTTGATTTGGCGATTTGACTGATGCATTAGCTGCGTAAGTGCCGTGTTTTCTATCGAATCCTCGTTTATCGCATCTCCAGCCGATTGTTTTAACCGTTCGATTACGACACACATAGCTATAACTGTTTTGGACTGGTTGATAAGCCATCGGACTGAAGATCACAGGGTCCGCAGTTCAATTATCTGCCCGACACCAAGTGTCCTGTAGCAAAACATTAATCTATACATTCCCAGGTGTGAATGGGTACCTGATATGTTTCAGCGCTAGTTACTTTGGTGACTCGGCTTTTACCAGGGTAATAATGTCTAGCGCCGTGAGCGTCATGACAGCGTAACGTGTGTGAAGCTGTAAAAGTTTCTTTTCGCTATACCGTAACTTAACGCCTAAGTAACTGAAAAATTAACTTCAAAGGACACGTTATATACCCACTGATACACACTGTAACAGTTGAAGAGCAAACGCTAACCGTAATTTGTAGCGCAAACACACACGAACCATTATGGTGGCCCTGAAGGGACATCGCGAATCACAAAATTTGTTGTAAAATTGATGACATATGTGACAAATCGCATATTTTGTCGCAAATTTCGTCGCAAATTATACGCGACAGAATATGCACCTTGTTGCATATTTTTGTATTTCTTTATTTAGCTTCTACCCTTACAATTTCTTAAACATTTTGGAGGGAGTGAAAATGAGGGCTACTTCATTCACTAATAGCCACCGGGTCTTGGTTGGTGTCGTAGGTTATAATAGTTAACGGAATGTTATGTGATCGTAAAACACAAGCCCCTGACACATATATTGCATAAAGAAAGCAATATCCGTATCAAGAAATCCGAGGTTTATCATATATTCGTGCTGAAAACGGCCACAGATTTTAAGTGATATCCTGGCAAAAAGTATTCACCTAAATCGCAAGAATAGAGTTTGGAAATTCGTTTTTTTTTCAGCTTATGAGGGGGGAGGACAAACGCCCTCAATCACCTCCTGTCCGCCAAAAAAGTATGCAACAAATTGGGGAGGGTGTGCAAATGAGGGCTAATACCTTTAATATGACTGTAAATGTGATGCATAGATTGCTGGAGCCTGGACACTGGTCAGTTTCTCATCACGCCTCCGCGCATGCCGATTGCACGTACAATACGGCCTCAATGCCCGTTCGCTAACTTCTTTTTCAGAAACTTAGGCGTCGGGTTACAATTTAGCAGAGTTTTTACTTTAGCAGTTTAACAGACGTGACATACAGGAGCGCTTTTTTAAAAGTGATAAATTCTTGATTAAATGGCCAAAACATGTGGATTAATGTGTGCATCACTTTATAACTGTAATGAAAGGCGCTTCATGAAATACCTTTTTTAATTGGTTAAATATAATAATAATATAATATTATTCCACTCCTTCTTTTCCTTCTGTTTTTTTTAAAGAATGCAGCCTTACCCACCTAATAAGTCATTGAGAGGTCCGTAGCCAGTGAGCTCTAGCCTGAGGGCCACGTATACACCATGGGCTGTCTTGGGATAGATACGAAAGAATCGGCATTCGATCGGCGTAAAGATGGTGTGTACAACAGAACTATTTTGGTCGTAGTTTCCTGTGTAGACCTGAACGAGATAATTCAACCATTTCATAATGAGATTAACTTGGGTTTGAAGTGTAGAATTTCCAATATCTAATAATTAACCCAATTAACCCAATGACGTCACTTTCGTAATGATTTTGTCCTTTCTTTGCTATTATTTAATTTGCAATATCTCTGTGAAAAATGTCCATACCTTCATCAGCACTATATCACATTTTACACAATAATAGAGACAAATCTTCGTTTGCACATTTATTGACTCCTTTTTTATTTACATATTTATATCATTTAATTACCAGTATCCTGGACCTTTATAATACCCTTATATTCTTACTTCGAACGGAATAGCATTATGATCCTATCTTATAATTTTCCGTCTGTCGGTTGACACAATTCTTGATAATAAAGTGTCATTTTAAGTCAACGAATAATCAAACCTTGACGCATTCTTGAAAATTTGTAGGGACAAGTTTTTATTAGTTTGAATTGTTTTATTCTTGATTCTCATCACGACAAACGTTTCCTCTTTTTCTCCATACTATTATAGGCAGTTACGTATCTATACTTAAACGTAAACACATCAATTTGTGATCCGGACACATTTCATGTTTTCCACCAGAGTTTTTTTTTTTTTTTTTTTTTTTTTAAGGGTTTGATTTTAATGGTGATTGCAAATGTCTAACTACTTCCGCCGTACATAGCCTACATTCTGTGCTGAGTAATATATTTCGTGTTTCTCTCCCCCCCCCCCCCCCCACCCCCTCTCTCTCTCTCTCTCTAAAAGAATAAGGTGATATGAGGGTGGAACTATAAACATCCAATTTGAGGCGATTCTAGGGGATTTCATCACGACCGTATCAAAACAAGAACCGCACTGCCATCCATACAGAATATTCTAAATATTCTAAAAGTGAGAAGGAGAACAAAAATCTATAAATGTCTTATATTTATATCCAGTGGGATAGCTATATTGGGGCACACTGGGGTAGGCACGTGCCCCCTCATTTAAATTACGAAGCAAAAAGAAAAAGAGGCACATTCTAACAAGAGGGGGGAAACAAAGAGAGAAATGGGAAAAGGATAAGGATGACAATAGTACCCCCTACCCCACCCTAATCAGTGGCCTTGTAAATCCGCATATCATTTCCCCAATGAGACTGGCGCCCTCCCCCAATGATGCCAATGCTCCTCAATACCTGGGCTCACACTACGTCACGGATAATAATCATTTATTTTATTGAGATTCAAACTCTTTATACGCCACACAAATAATCATACTGTGTCACATTGTATTTATCATTGGATAGACATGTTTATTTAATTGTTTCCTGGGCAAGATTACTCTATACCGGTGTTAAAAGGGTTGTTGTTGGAGATATCAAGATCGGACAAGGGTAATTTTGCAAAGCCGTTGTGTTGCATAAAGCAAACCTTCCATTAACTTGTTGTCCAGTAGACGGTACCATATACCATGTACATGACCTGGAAAAGTTGATAAGTACAAGGTTTTTTTGTTGATTTGTGTTCTAGATGGGTATTGAAGTAAATTCAGCTTGGTTGCCAGCTTGGCAACCTTGGTCAACTTTTTTTAATAGCCATATTAGCATAATCATCTAATTACCATATGTGCAATATGTAATAATGTTGCTAATCTCAATCCAGGAAGCCTGAAAACATGGATAATATGACTTTTCAAGGGTTTTCTATGACAAGGAATCCATTTATGGCACCAATTTTTATTTTTAAGTAATACAATTGTCTTAAATAGCATAATTAGCATAATATGTACAATGTATGGACTTCATTGTCACTGTTTATCTATAAAGCCTAAAAATGGTGCAATGCAACATTGTAAATCACTTTTGAAAGATTAATCATTAATTCATGAGAAGATATTCCATGTATATGTAGTATAATTAGCCTAATTAGCATAATAATCTAATTAGCTTATATGTGCAATATGTAATAATGTTGCTAATCTTAATCCAGGAAGCCTGAAAACATGAATAATATGACTTTTCCAGGGTTTTATATGATGAGGAATTCATTTATGACACCAGTTTTTTTATTCCAAGTAATGCAATTGTCTTAAATAGCACAATGAGTATAATGAGCTAATAAGCATGCGTACAATATATGGACTTCATTGTCATTGTTTATCTATAAAGCCTCAAAATGGTGCACTGCAACATTGTAAATGACCTTTTGAAAGACTACACATTAATTCATTAGAAGATATTCAATGTAGATGTCGTATAATTAGCCTAATTAGCATATACATTGTATATGCAATATGTAATAATGTTGCTAATCTTAATCCAGGAAGACTGAAAACATGGATATTATGACTTTTCCAGGGTTTTCCATGACGAGGGATTCAGTTGTGATACCAGTTTTTTATTTTTAAGTAATGCAATTGGCTTAATATGTAACTATTGTACTAATAAGCCTAATTAGCATATTTGTAGAATATCAATTATTTGGGACTCATTTAGCTTCACAAATTGTATGTCCAATGTGGTGGTTATCTTGGTTGCAAGGCAATGTTGTCGAACCTCATGAAATGTTTAGGAAATGACGGGGTCATCATACGCATTGGAGGTTGGGCTTCAGTCATTGGATTTAGAGAGACAGTCGGAAACACACTGAAGAATGTTAAAGCAGATGATAGTGATTGAATTGATGACGTGGTGAGACAAGTACATATGTAGGCCAGGGATGTTTAATACAACAGTACGAACTACACTGTCGCTCATAAAGGTGGAATATTTTTGTTTTATCCCAAATTATAGAATTATTTTAAAAATTATTTAAAAGTAATAGATCTAGATAATATTATACATTCTCAGATTTTATTGAATAATAATTTGCCAATGTGTGTTTTGCGTGACTGCTAGAGCACGTGTATGCTATTATGCTTATTAACTAGGGGACCTATGCCCTTAACTCATAAATGACAGTAATGAGGATTAATGCCCCACAAAAGGGCACTTATATAGCACATCGACACGGTTTTGATCCTGGGGCCTCACAGTAACGAGGCCATTGCTTTGTCACTGAACCATGACTGTACGCAGCGGGGGCTAGGGTAGGGGGCATTTTCCATAAATACATTAAAAAAACAGAAAATGCAATAAATTTTCAATAATTTATTGCATTTTACCCCGGTTCCCAACATAAAAAAATATTTTGGGTGCCCATGCCTTGAGCCATAATGCATGGCCGTCCAGAGGATTTTTTTATGTTGGGGACCGGGGTAAAATGCAATAAATTATTGAAAATTTATTGCATTTTCTGTTTGTTATATGAAGTCCATATATATTGTACATATTATGCTAATTAAGACATTTAAGAAAATTGTATTACTTAAAAATAAAAATTGGTGTCATAAATGGATTCCTTGTCATAGAAAACTCTTGAAAAGTCATATTATCAATGTTTTCAGGCTTCCTGGATTGAGATTAGCAACATTATTACATATTGCACATATGCTAATTAGATGATTATGCTAATATGGCTATTAAAAAAGTTGCCCAAGGTTGCCAAGCTGGCAACCAAGCTGAATTTACTTCAATACCCATTTAGAACACATATCAACAAAAAAACCTTGTACTTATCAACTTTTCCAGGTCTGAAAAACTCGTTTGTTCAAACGGCACGTGTGACTATTAAAGCGACCGTGCAGAGAGGCACGGAAAGCAAACTGAGTGTTAATACCTTGACTATGTTGGTGTTGATATCCCGGTAGTAGGTCCAAGATGCTTCGTCCAGACTGGAAGAAACTGTGTACGATGTCCATTGGTTAAATTCTGCACTGCCTTGCGTCATGATGGCGGTGATGATAAATGTGGAATCAAATTTGATCTGAAGCCAGGGGTCTCTGTCATGCCTTTCTGCGATCCACGCAGAAGGACTGTTAAGACGTGCTTTTAGTCTACTCACATTAGGATCCCGTTCACTCGAGACTGTAATATCGCTGTCAGGAACCTTACCGCTTTCTAGACCAACTGGATTACCCCGTGGTGTGCTGCACAGGTTCACTGTTGAAAAATAAACACAGAATTGCAGTTTTAGGTCTTTAAAAGAGTGTTTTTAAATAAACAACGCAACTCTAACATAATTAGTTTGGCTCAATCAGCATTCATAATCATGCGCATTTGGATGTTCCAGCACTTGTGGGTAGGAGACATGTGAAACTTTGAACGTTTTTACCGACCACCTGTCTCAGTTGATCAGGACGCTTTACCCAACCCTAACGCTGAATCTCATCATAACCTAAAACCCATTTACAACCCTATGGCCTGCATTTTACCAATGTTAGGCCTGATGCAGGACCTAAGCGTAGGGTTTTATTTGAAATCGTGTTTAACAAAGGAGGTTTAGTGTCAGAATAAAATGGGAAATTTATTTTTATTTTATTTTTATTCTTATTTTCTAGGGCACCTAGACATTAGAGGGCGTCTGTAATAGAAAATATTTCGCTTGTCTGAATATGCAAATGAGGGTGTGGTGCCGAGAAAGCTACAGTGTGTACGTGTGGATTTGACTCGGGGCAACTGACATAAGACGGAGGTTGTAGTGTGGTGTGTGAGAGGTCATGTACATGTACAATTCTTGATAAATAGCTTTGACGGTTTCCCACCAAAAAACGATCACTTTTAAGCAAGGGTGTCGATTTGTATCCGTGGTTGGGGGGGGGGGGGATGATAGGTGCCAAAATATGTTCGGCAATGGATCAAAGCAACCAAGAGGTAGACGCGTGTGGCAGGTTGCACCTCCTTCCTAAGCGCGTAGCCAGTAGATTATTAAAGAAAGAAGACGATTCGATGTACCATTCTCGACTCTTAAATAAATCCTTGTATGAATCAAGTTCCCCTTCCTCCGCGCGAAGCGCGAAAGCTCTGACGTTTCCTTAAATTATTTTTTAAAAAAGAAGGCGATTTCATGTACTATTCTCGACTCTCAATCCTTAATTTTTGAATCAAGTTCCCTTTCCTCCGCGCGTAGCGCGGAAGCTCTCACTTTTCAGTAGATTATTAAAGAAAGAAGACGATTCGATGTACCATTCTCGACTCTTAATCCTTGTTTGTATCAAGTTCCCTTTCCTCCGCGCTACGCGCGGAAGCTCTGACGTTTCAGTAGATTATTAAAGAAAGAAGACGATTCGATGTACCATTCTCGACTCTTAATTCTTGTTTGAATCAAGTTCCCCTTCCTCCACGCGTAGCGCGGAAGCTCTGACGTTTCATTAGATTATTAAAGAAAGAAGACGATTCGATGTCCATTCTCGACTCTTAATCCTTAATTTTTTAATCAAGTTCCCTTTCCTCCGCGCGTAGCGCGGAAGCTCTGACGTTTCAGTAGATTATTAAAGAAAGAAGACGATTCGATGTACCATTCTCGACTCTTAATCCCTGTCTGAATTCAGTCCCCCCCCCCCCCCCCCCCCCCCTCCCGCGCGAAGCGCGGAAGCTTTGACGTTTCAATAAATTATTAGAGAAAGAAAACGATTCGTTGTGTCGTGTCCTTGTCTGAATTCAGTTTTTCCCCTCCCGCGCGAAGCGCGGAAGCTTTGACGTTTCATTTGATTACTCTTAATCCACGTCTGAAATCATTTTCGCCCATCACGCGTAGCGCAGAAGCTTTCAGGTTTCTTTAAATTATTATAAAAGAAGACGATTCGTTGTATCGTGTACTTTGACGTTTCATTTAATTATAACTCTTAATCCTAGTTTAAATTCAGTTGCCCCCCCCCCCTCCCGCGCAAAGTGCGGAAGCTTTGCCGTTTCACTAAATTATTAGAGAAAGAAGACGATTCGTTGTTCTGTTCTCTATGAATCCTTGTTTGAATTCAGTTTCCCCACATGATGTACGTATGGAACGTTCGTTCACAAATCTTTGCATGCACAGCCCGAGTGGTGGGTAGCATGTTATCTCCCGACAGTGCTTGTCGCTATAGCTCCTGGAAAGGAATTGTGTAATACTGTTAGTGTTAACGGCCACTAATTAGGCCCATTAGTGACTATACAAAATATATGCTCTTCCTGGCTATTTGGGAATGTGTCAGTTTGCAACAGAAATGGAGAAACGCGAATTTGGTTGAAAATCATGTGATATCACGAACATTTATAATTCACTTGTATGAAATTGAAAATAAGTCAGGGTTGGATTTTATTGGGGGGGGGGGCTAGCGCCCCCAAGCCCTCCTACCAGTTCGCCAGTGACATAGGCCTACATCAGCTTTTCAATAAAACAAAAATAAGTTGTGACATAATAATCTTACTTCAAAAATGAAAAATGTTTTAGGAAATATCAGGAATAAAATGAGTGAAAAAAATTATTAAAGATACAATGTTCAGAAGTGAATTTTAAAAAGGGTGAACGGAAACAACATAATAACTAGTGACTATATTATAAGTCATACTAATGTCCGAAAATCTTTCTACTAATTGTCTCCGATCTCATCACGAATTCGTCACAGAGTTCATCTATGTTTACACTGTCCAGGATTGTCTGATGTATATTGCAGATTGCTACTTTTGCGCTTCGCGCTTAACATTTAGCTCGTTGCTTTTCAACGCTGCGTCTTTGCATTTGGCGCATTGCATTTCTATGATGCTGTTGATTGAACAAATTGAATAAAATCATCAATTTCTGATGAAGCCGTATGAGCGAGAATTCAATTTATTCTTGTCTCATTTACGGTTGTTTCATTTACTTCGTATATATGTATGTATTATCAAAATGAGATAGCAAAATGTGTATATTGATAGTCATCTTGCGAGTAATAATCATTAACTACTCTCATCGGGCTCTCATCATTAATTTTTCTCTTAATTTTTTTTTTTTTTTTTGAGGGTGAATTATTTGGGGGAATGATTGTACAGGCCATCCCCCCCACCTGAATTATTGGGGGGGATATATCCCCCCATCCCCCCCCCCCCCCGGGATCGACACCCATGCTTGTAAGGACAATTCCAACACCTTTTGGAACATTTTAATTAGACATTTTTAATTTCATAGATCGTTTTCGTGAAGGGTATCTCCATGAGATAAAACCAACCGATTTAAATCGGCGCGCGTGGGCAGTCATTGTCATCGCGATTCTTGTATTTCTGGCACTAAATTTGTTCGCTTGTACTTTAGTTCACCATTAATGTGCAGTTTCCCCAGTTACATGTTGGTCTGCGAAAACTAATTGTCATTAGAATATCCATTGTACATTTCTCATAATTATGCAATAAAAAGAGAATTTGATTATTTCCTTCTTTAGAAAAATAAACAGACGTTACTAGAGTGCGCGTATTTATCGTGTATGTTTCTGCGGCATCGAACATACTTCAAAGACAAGCTGTTTGTTGTGACTCCATCTACATGTATGTGAAGTCTCCTTGTCAGTAAAATTCAATTTTTCTGAAACACTTACATGTACAGCAAACAACAGCTACACTCCCCTCCTTACGGTTCATCACCGACGTCTCCTCGTACCAACAGGTTGTAATGTTAGTCACGTTGACTGGACATCTCACAGTCACAGCCTCAGAATGATTATCTAAGGACGACATCTCATAGAGATCTCCTCCTACCGTCGCATATACATCTTTTTAACAGATGATCAGAAAGAAAGTTTTTAAAAAATGATGAATTGAAATAAAAGATGTATTTACACTAGTGATTCAACTCCTGACTACTAGTAAACTAAATGTTCTCTGCTGCATTTCTCTTAATTCCATACACACACCAAAAAAGGTTTTATGTTTGTTAAGTGTTCGGAACCCCCCCCCCCCCCCCCCCCCCCTTGTAAAAATTGACTCAGTCTTGCTGACAGTTACTTCGACTGTTCCCAGAAATGTTCATGATATTTACACAGGCACGTAACATGGAAGTTGGTCCAAACTTTTCAGCAATACCTTTTTTTTAATAGGAGGGTATGTGAAAGAGCAATCCATTTCGGAGGACATTTCTATCATGAAATTTTTTCAAACTGCCATAGCAAAGAACAATCAAACAGCTCACAAATTATTTCATACCTATACTAAACCCAACCTCCTCTATCAGTCAACAACAAAAAATATTTTGTGTATTCGTGCGCTTTGTTATTTGAAAGATCTTGCTTTCTCAGATCCCTCTTTCAAATAGCATTGATAACGAACAAATGAAGCCTAATCAAATTAAATATCCGGTGATTCAATGGACTGCATGGATGACTTTTGATGGTGAACTTCAAAATTCGACAGTAACCCTTAGGAAAGTGAAAAGCATGCCGCAGACCTGCCGCAGATCTGCTGCAGACTTTTAATCTGCGGCAAAGAGTATGCCGAAGTATGCGGCAGAAAGAAATTTTGCTGCAGACTTGCCGCATACCAGTATGCCACAGGAATAGTCTGCGGCAGATCTGCGGCAGGATGAAGCTTTGTTCCAGACTTGCCGCATACTAGTATGCCACAGGAACAGTCTGCGACAGATCTGCGGCAGGATGAAACTTTGCTCCAGACTTGCCGCATACTAGTATGCCACAGGAACAGTCTGCGGCAGATCTGCGGCAGGATGAAACTTTGCTCCAGACTTGCCGCATACTAGTATGCCACAGGAACAGTCTGCGGCAGATCTGCGGAAGTGGCGAAACTTTGCCCCAGACTTGCCGCATATACCAGTATGCCACAGGAACAGTCTGCGGCAGATCTGCGGCAGGATGAAACTTTGCTCCAGACTTGTCGCATACTAGTATGCCACAGGAACAGTCTGCGGCAGATCTGCGGCAGGGCGAAACTTTGCCCCAGACTTGCCGCATACCAGTATGCCACAGGAACAGTCTGCGGCAGGTCTGCCACAGAAAAGTGGGAAATTATACACTCTGAAGCAAGGCTATAGGCGGCCATTTTGGAGGACATGCAGGGCCATGAGACTGCAGGCTGAGCCCATGATCTTGTAAATTCCTGTGTTTATTAGCACTGTTAATTGTCTTTTTAGCTTCTGTCAAACAAAACAATTTGCTTCAAGTTCAACTGGTACCATAAGAGGACTTTATTACATAAGGGGAGACTGAGGAATTAACGGACTGTTTCAAACTTTTTTGTTGTGCCATATGTGATCTTATCTTCAGCCCCACTAACTCACTTTTTTGTTGTAACTAGCACATGGATCTGTGACTCTACTCTGGGCTATGTGTATGCAGTTATTGTATTCCTATTCCTCTACCTCTACATCTGCATTGTGTTAAACCCATATTTGTAGAATTGTTGAAGCAATTCCGCCTATTTTAGCTGTTTCTACTAATTCAAGGTGCTAGAATTTAATGATGCAATGCATGCTCTCCAGCATAGTCTTCCTGCAAGACTGCATACTTATTTGCCACGTACTGGATATGAAAGAGTATGCGGCAGGTCTGCAGCAGGTCTATATGATATATGAATATTCATGATGAAGAGTCTGCGGCAGGTCTGCAGCAGACTCTTTGTTATAGCCTTTTCTATGAATATTCATAATAAAGGAGTCTGCGGCAGACCTGCCGCATACTCTTCATCATACTGAAAGAGTATGAGGCAAGTCTGCGGCAGACTCTTCATCATACTGAAAGAGAATGCGTCAGGTCTGCAGCAAGTCTGCGGCAAAACTAATTTGCATGTGAAGAAGATGACTGTCTGCGGCAGGTCTGCTGCAGGTCTGCGGCAAGTCTGCCGCAGGAGTATGCGGCAGGCTCATTTCTTTCCTATGGGAAATACCTCGGTCACACTACCAAACTTACTCCTAATCGACTCCAAACCTACATAATCTTGGTCATTCGGTGGGTAATGAACATTTTGTTCAGTCTGTTGTCGGTCATGGCATCGTTTCATGAAACTGTCTTAAGTATATAAAAAGTCACCGACATCCCATTGAAACGCGTGTTAAGTTGAATACGCGCGTTACATAGGTTGTCGGAAAACATTTACTTATGACGTGTTCGTGAACAGCTTCGGCCGTCAGATGGTAAAACGGTCTAACTCGAAAATCGCTGTTCTGAGAAAAATGACTTTGAAGTTTAGAAGTTTCAGCTTTTTTAGGAAATGGGTATAATCCATTTTTAGCAAAGGGACAAGAAGAAGCATATTAAACACTGATAACTGAAGAATTTTGTGCTTATTTGGGGTTTTAATTATAAAAAAAATGAGATTTTTGTGCAGATAGACTGTTTAAAAACAGCACATGCATACACTCCCACTACACATCATAATATGGTAAAATGGTCTATCTTCTAGAAAGACCATAAACACTATTGCCATACTACTAACTCGAAGATAGACCATTTTACCATCTGACAGCGATGATTAAAAAATCTCAATTCAGAAGGTTAAAAGGTTTATGTAAAATATAGCTCGTTTTACCCCCAAACGATATTACCGGCAATGGGCTAACTCAGAGATAGACCGTTTTACCATCAAATCTAAAGGAAAAATACAAAAAAGTACCAAGATAGCGGAAATTATCTCTAAAAGAAGACATGATGGGATTTTCTCAATAGCACCATTGGAAATAGCGCCCTCACATTACCCGGAAAGTGAATTTACCTCAAAAAGTCAAAATTTCGAGTTAGACCGTTTTACCTTCTGACGGCCGCAGCTGCACATGATGACGGTCTCCTTGATGTGATTTGGATATAACTGACTGAGACAAGTAAACACAATACAGGACTATAAGCTTCATAAAGCATTTACCTTCATAGCCTAGATACTTGCAGACTAACTGGGATGCGTTCCTGGACCAGTTTACTTGATGGATTAACATGTAGGTTGCAGGGCGAGAACGAGATGTGATAACTATTCGTCCTTCGCCTTCACTTCCACCGACTAGTCTCAAGGAATGGATGAACGGGTCTATACATGCAATGAATTGAGCCAAAATACAAAATGTAACGTTCCTCTGAGCAAATCCGTACGTTTGAAGAATAAGACAAAAATACGTGACCAAACATATAAGCGATGGTGGATCTAGGGGGGGGGCCCAGTCCCCTTCCCCTTCCCTGGCAAAAAACAGGTAAAAACACCTTTTTTCTTTAAAAAAAAAAGAAGACGGGCCCCCTCCCCTGGCAAAAAAAATGTTGAGTAAAGTATTGGTCACTATCTCCCCGTTGAGCAAAAAAGAGAGAAAAAAGGAGCTTCTCGCTCTCTGTCTCTGTCTCTTTCTCTGTCTCTCAGTCGCTCTCTCTCTCTCTCTCTTTTTCTCTCTTTCTCTCTGTCTCTCTCGCCATCTTTTTTTTTTTTATCTCCCTTTTGTTCATTTAGTTAATTTCCTCCTCTTACCGTACTCGCATCTGTCTCCACAGTAGCTATCCAGGCAAGTGCACTTAAACCCCTTATCTGTTTCCTCACAGGTTCCTCCATGTTGACAGGGGCTCGATAAACACGCTGAAATTGGACCACACAATATGCATGTAACGATTTAGAAACCAGACGCCATTAATTGACAATTTGAAACTGCACTTAAATACTTGTAACTTTAACACATTGTTCAGAGTAAGTTTTCATGTTTACATTTCTTATGAAAACATAAATAAGGTTAAGCGAGAATGGCAAGAGACCAGTTTATTGAAAATTAATTGTTTGATTACAAATGATATTTGGAATAACTCTACATTACTAAATACAAAAGTGAAAGCACAACAGCTCTTATTTGATTTTAAAGATACACAATTAAAGAAAGCATTTCCACAGTGTTGGTTGGATAGATTAAGCTATGATTTCGAACAAGAATGTGATATTTCGAATATTATAGAAATAGAAACAGGGGATATTTATTATAAAAGTGAAAGATTACTACGTTTGTTAATACGTAAAAAGACAAGATAACCAAATATCATTTACTTTTGGAATTCCTTTTTACATTTGGATAATGACTTTGTTTAGATGGATGTATTTTTATTGAAATTAAAGCAAATTCGTAATAATAAAGATAAAAAATTTAATTTCAAGATGATTCATAGGTTTATTGCCTCAAAAGAAAACTAATATAAATGGCAAATGGTTAATAATAATTCATGCAACTCTTGTGGACAAGTTAACTCAACTTTTCATTTGATGTTGTATTGCAAGGTCAGGATGTGACTTTGTTTTTGAAAATAATATGTAATTTGGTATTTAATCGATTCCAAAAAGAATTACAAATAGACCAGAAGATAATAGTTGTATAGGTAAGGATATTGGAAACAAGAAATATTCACTTCTGAATATTATTTTAGATTATGCGCAATATGCAATCTTTAAATGTTACTTTAAAAAGATTATTAATGGTTTTGTTTACTACCCACATACTTTGATTTTTTAATTTAAGTCGTTGCTAACAATACTTTAAAGATATGAATGTGTTAGCAAAGAAAATAATACTAAGCTGGAAGAATTGTTGAATATACTTCAATTTTTAGCCTATGTTATGTTTCACTCAATCATTGAGTTATTAATGTAAATATGTATTGCTATTATGGAAATAAAAACCTCGCTTGAGGATAAGAGAAAAAATAAACAATAAATAAGTTGAAGCATTTATTTAATTCTTTATTACATGCCTAGGCATACAATACATGCATAATTAAGGGAGGTGTGGCACAAAGGAATGAGAGTGCAAAACAAGAGAAAGACCTAAAACAAACCATCTAACGAATTACAAGTCCAGTCGAGGGACTCTCCATGTAAAGTAAAAATTTAAACTGATTACATATATTTTTTAAATATATATATATATATATGTGTGTGTGCGTGTGTGGAAGCTCAGGGATATCTGAAAGCTCCATTAAGTTATGAAGTGATGTTGAGGTGATGTTGTACGAAACGTACGGCTTACCTGGAATGAAACAGTGGTACCATCTTGATGACTCCGAGGGTAGACCAAACACACTTGGTATACCTGGATTTATGACCTTCTTTAAGACTAATTGTACTACCTTCCCTCTTTCTAACGTCTTCGATGGGCACTTAATCTTGGTAGAACAGGGCTGTTCAGCGGCAAAAGCTGCCAGGTTTCAAATGAATAGGAGAATGGTAAAATGTTTCTATGCCTGAAATAAAATGTACACTGTCGCTCATATAGTTGGAATATTTTTGTTTTACCCCAATTTATGGAACAATTTAAAAAATAATTTAAAAATAATAGATCTAGATAATAGTATATATTCTCAGACTTTATTGAATAATAATTTGACAATGTGTGTTTTGCGTGACTGCTAAAGCATGTGTATGCTACTATGCTTATCAACTAGGGGACCTACGCCCTTAAGTCATAAATTACAGTTGTGAGGATTAATGTCCCACAAAAGGGCACTAATATAGCACATCGACATTTTCAATAATTTATTGCATTTTACCCCGGTCCCCAATACGAAAAAATCCTCTGGACGGCCATGCATTATGGCTCGAGGCATGGGCACACAGAGGATTTTTTTTATGTTGGGAACCGGGGTTAAATGCAATAAATTATTGACAATTTATTGCATTTTCTTTGTTTTTTATATTCATGGGAACTGCCCCCTACCCTAGCCCCCGATGCGTACAGTCATGGTTCAGTGACAAAACAATGGCCTCGTAACTGTGAGGCTCCAGGATCAAAACCGTATCGATGTGCTATATTAGTGCCCTTTTGTTGGGCATTAATCCTCATTACTGTCATTTATGACTTTAGGGCGTAGGTCCCCTAGTTGATAAGCATAGTAGCATACACATGCTTTAGCAGTCACGCAAAACACACATTGCCAAATTACTATTCAATAAAATCTGAGAATGTATACTATTATCTAGATCTATTATTTTTGAATTATTTTTTAAATAATTCCATAAATCAGGATAAAAAAAATATTCCAACTATATGAGTGTACGTTAATACTCTAATCGGTATGCAGAAGGCAATAGCCACATAATTCAGAATGATCAATTCGAAAAATGAACAAGAAAGAAGAGCAAGGACCATAAGTTAATAAAGGAAGAACTGCTCTCTTTAAAAAAACAATTGATATGAATTGGGTTGGACATGTTTGAACAATTTAGTTTCATTAAGAAATGAATCAGGAAAGCAATACATGGAATGAAGAAAAAACGGAAATGAATTTTGGTGTATTCTCCCAGGTTTCATAACATCACATTTAATTACATTTCTACTTATTAATCAATACAGGAAATAAACGAATTTTTGCTTGAAACCAAACGCAGTTGTACTTATAGACCTAAATCCTTATTCCTCGTTTCGTTAGGATTTACATTAAATATACGGTTCCTACCTGTTCCCTGAAGTAGGATCATGGGCAACACGAACATTAACACAGACATTACGAAACCAGTAACCACGCGACGCTGTGAAAATAACGAAAAATTTTAACGAGAAATTTAATTTATATATTTGGAACTGGATTCCCCTTTTCATTTTATTTTGCTTACATATCAGAATATAAAAAAACGACATTTTATGGTTACGAGGCACATGCATCCCGATGTTTACATGTAGTTTTACTTAAAGGGCAATACGACCCTTGTAATAAGTTCATTTGTTTGAAAACGAAAAAATAAGCGTAACTAAAAGGCGGAAGTTAGAAATAAAACGGACCAATAATAAGAAAGATGTGAATGTTATAAATATAAGATCACTTAAAGTCTATGCAAGTATCAAATTGGCAATGTGTTCAGTAGAGTGTGACGCAGTCGCGGATAACTCTCCCGTTTGTCATAGTACACAAATATCATGAAGCTACAGGCGCGTACGCAGGGGGGGGGGGTGTTTGGGAGGTTAAACCCCCCCCCCCCCTTTGGTATTTTAATGTGTGTAAACCCCCTAAAAATCTAAACCCCCTCCCCCTTCGGTTTTTTTTTTTTTTTTTTTTTTTTTTTTTAATTATTAAAAAAAAAAATTAAAAAAAAATTACCCCCATGGCTGACCTAAGAAAGGTGACCTTACCCCCCTCCCCCCAGCTAAGTAAAATGTCAAATTTTCAATTTTCGAGACCAAAAAAAAAAAAGTATCCTCTTACCCCCCCCCCCCCCCCCCCCCCCCCCCCCCCCCCCCCCCCCCCCTTGAAAAAATCCTGCGTACGCCACTGTGAAGCTGTATATGTGCCTTCTGCCTTGGGGTACTACAAAACATAGTATAGGTAACGTATCATTATAGGTCCTCAAAAGAGAAAAGACCCTCCCTAATCATAAACGTTGAGAAATTGAAACTTTGGTCATTTAATGTGTTGGAACAAATGAGAAAGTTGTCCGCCATTACACCACAGAGATATACCGATTCAGTCAATTTAGAGAGCCCATACCCATACCCATAGCAATTACAACTTTCAAACATCTACAACTTTCTAATTTTTGTCCAATTTCATTTAAAGTTACCCCAGTCTGCTTCTCTGCCATTTCTGCTTCCTTCTAGAGTACTTTGCTACCAAGTACCTGATTGGAAAATGCGCTCCTCTGACCATATATGATTTTAGAAATTACATGTACGCCGTCTTCCTTGTATTACAGCTTTTGCTATCATTATTTTGTGTACACTTTTACTACTTTTGTTGATATGGAATAATAAATGGAAAAATAAATTTTGATTTAATCAAAATGAGTTGAATTGAATTGCATAATAGACTTTTTATGAAAAATCTGCCTACCAAGAAGAAATTATTATAACTTAACAATCACATTATATGCTAAAAATTCTTTGACAATGAACTTTCTTTCAAAATTAAGTAAAATGAAGTTTCCTGTATATTTAAGCTATTGTGGAATTCCGGACAGGGTTAAAATGGACGAGAACAAACCGTATAAAGAAGAGAAAGCCTTGTAAAAAAAAATATATCACTTTTCTTGATACATTATGCAATGTGTGAATGGTTAAACATACCTGACTCATTGTGAGATACAAAGCGGACACATCTTCCATGTATATATTTACGGGAAAAGATCCTTCTACTGCATCATTGGTGAAAGCCTCTCGATATCAATAATGAGCGTTAGATATTGTATCACTGTTGAAGTTTCAGGAAAATTCCACTTTTCAAAAGATAATGCGACGAAAAATATGATTTGTACACTCTGAACATGTACGTCAAGTAGCCTGCCGGAAACTGTCAGTTAATTGCTCTGGAAAATATTTATTTTCCAAGACTTCAATGTGTTTTTCATGGTCGATAGAATTCAAGAAGTACATGCAGTAGGTTCCTTTGAGAGGAGAATGGTAATATATTTAACGCCAATGCTGTATTGTTTTTTCGTTTTATTGTCATCGATGAGTCTGTAGTCTGTTAATGAATGTGTGTGTGTTGGGGTGGGAGGGAGGGTGTTCGCGCGCGCCCACGCTTGTGTGCGTACGTGTGTGTGCATATATTATATGCATCTATCAATAAACCTCGGTTTTCGGTAGCCTATTTGACTTTCATCTTTATATGAGCAAATATCATAATCTGATAATGACGAACAAATTATTATAGGAAAGAGTTAAAAAGAATTCGGCGTGGTTTCTATAATAATAAAAGAAAATAAAAATAACAAAAAATTGTGGTAATGGATGACCCAAAAAAGCTTACCCTCGTACGCGTCTGATTATCATTCGGGACTTTTAGATTTGCGTGGACTGATACGTGTGACGTCCATTCAAGGCAGTGCATTAAAAGGACGTCGATCGTAGCAATCCCCATTGTCTCCGTGCGAATCTAAAAGTCCCTAATATTAGCTTGTTGATGAATCGAGCTTCGTCATTGTCCTGTTAAAAAAGTAACGGATAAAATGATACAATTACTCGTCCTTCATTATTATTTGCTCGCGCAAATAAATGAAATTCATTCATCCATGCCCGATTGCTATGCCAGGTATCCATGCATGCCAGTCATGCAGACATCGAACGAAGGCTACAAAGTCATTTCATTATAATCTACTTTCTGACTGCATGTAAGGTTGCTAAGTGAGGGAACTAGCCTTGCGAGTCCGACAGATATCAAACAAAAGCTGCAAAGTCATTGGTCATTCCATTACAAAATATTTTACGTTATACTGATGCTATTTAGTTGATTTACAGTGCATGTGGAGTTGTATAGTTGCTCCTCCCTTAACCATTTTCCTTTCTTCTCTTTAAGATTGTGTCAATTGCAGTAAAGCTAGAATATTGACACAAAAGAAAGAGAAAGGAAAATAAGTGTATAATAAAACAAGCAGTGCAACATTGTAAGTAGGTCTGCTTTACACCTAGTGCTTCTACTGATCGTGTGAGTGTGAATTAAAAAGGAAAAAAAAGGGATTCATTAACAAATTGCATCTCATTTACAAACATGACAACAGCTGAACAAGAACGATGTGTGGATGAATTGCATTGACATGGAAATACAGTGTATATAGGAATGCGAATAAGCATGAGTTTCTCTCTTATCACTACATCACTTTGGAAATGTTTTCTGACTCCAAAATACAGGTCATGTTCACCGATTTTTATGTTGTCATGAAATTGAATGAAGCTGTAACTTTTCAGAGTTTATGTTAAAGGATGGTTTAGTTCTTGTTTAATTGACCGCAAATGCCTTCCAAGTGCTTTTTAGGACCTCAAATTGCTATGAAGGTAATTTTAGGCCCAACAATTTGTGAAACCTAGCCAATACGATCATATCAATTCAGCTCCACTTTCAAAAAAATACGGTGACCTTTAATTAATGAATTAATCAATAATAACAATACACGGGCCGGCTGGTTGTGTGTATTATATCCAACACGAATTAACGCCAACAAAAGCCAACGTCGTCATTGGCTGGAATAAAACTTATAAGGCGCTTTCTCGTTTTTCAACGACTGGTTCAAATTAAGTTGTTATGGATATTTCAGCCGTCTCATAACCGATTTCGATCAACCAAAGACGATTTTGTCATTTAAATTGTATGTTCTTTGACACTCAGTTTTTCATTATCTCAAAAAAAAATATTTTGTGTAGCAACAAAACTCAACTATCCTTTTAAGTGAAACCCAAAGACATCTCTTTAACAGCCATAACAACCGAACCGGCATTCACTATAAATATGACGGACAAAGAAAGTGGACAAAATATACAGTTCCTCAGGTAGACAAAGGAACATCCCTTCATTGCTATTATGTAAAAATGTGTAGAACAGGTACCACATGCATATTCACCCGTTTTACTTTGTTCCTTTGTCTACCTAAGGAACTGTATATTTTGTCCTCTTTCTTTGTCCGTCATATTCATAGTGATTGTACATTGTACGAGATAAATGCATGAATGAGTCACCTAGACATAGTGATATAGCAATTGGGAATGCAAACCAAAAAAAATCTATCATCGCGAACATTACACTTTGGACAGAGGTTGCGTTGCATACATATTATCAGGGAGCTGTTATACAAGGATTGAAAACTCTTGTAATTTATTCAAACGTATATGCGTGACTTCTAAAGCGTAACAATGGGATGCGTAACATGCCGCTTGGCTTTAAGTTCCATGCTCAGAGCCGCTCTTCCACTGCGGGGAATTTTGGAGGCCAGGTACCCCCCGCCCCCCCCCCCCCCTTTCAGCAAAAGTCCGGTGTGTAAAGCCAATACGGGTCGACCTTTTTCTTTTGTTATACGAGCCTTTTTCATCACCCCCCCCCCCCCCCTTTCAGCAAAAGTCCGGTGTGTAAAGTCAATACGGGTAGACCTTTTCTTTTGTTACGAGCCGGAGAGTTTGGGAACACGCATGGTATCCCTCCGTTCACGGAGTGGGAGGCCGGGCAGCGAAAATTTTATTCCCAAACATGTTTGCAATTTCTTATATTTCTGTTCTTTTGATTGGCTGATATGTTCTACGTCATTAGCAGCTTGGAAAGAGGTCACAATTAGACTTTGATTTTTTTTTGTATTGCTTTGCCTCAATATTCATGAAGGCAAAAATAGGACAGAAAATTACTGGGATTCGAACTTACGACTTCAAGATTGTATTACGCTGACCTTACCGATTGAGCCAACGATGGGTTGATGAAAACGTGATTCTGCATGATTTCTATAACCCTATCACTCACCCTAACGGTTATTGCTAATGACATAACATATCAGCCAATCAGATGACCGGAAATATTAGCATTTGCAAACCTGTTTTGGAAGAAAAAATCGCGGCCGGGCAGGCGTAAATTATAAACTTTATATGGGGATTGTATAGGGGATAGTGCATCAAACAATTGTTCAAATTTAGTACTCCGCCCTTCCTTTAATTTGTGTGCAAGAGTTAGTAAAAGAAAAAATAGATCCTGACAAAAACTACATATTTTAGGATAATTCGATTATGTTCGCACGTTTTAATGCCCCGTCATTTAATCCATGATTAATCCATGATTTACAATCTTCGATAACTTTAAGTTTGCTAATGCGTGCTTTCGCGTGCTTTTTGTATTTTTGCATTAAAAAAAAAAAGTATGAAATTACACAAGTTTGTGATCGCTTGTTCAGCTCATTACACATTCAACAATTATTGATTAAAAATCTTTGAAAGGGACAGCGAATATTTCCTGAAATACCATTTTCTGATGTAGGAATTCCAAATCCTGATATTTCATGTGCTCTTTTATCTCACCATTTGGTCAACAGTTGCAGAGTAGCGCATATATTTTCGGCGACTTGGAGCAGGCGCGGATACAGGATTTCTTAGGGGGGGGGCCTAATTTTTTTTTTGATCCCGAAAATTTGAAAGCCGAACGTTTGCTCAGTGGGGGTAGGGGGCGGGGGTAGTAAGCACATTTATTTTTGTTGGCCTTCGAAAATTTCAAAATCGCACCCCCCCCCCCCCCTTAAGCGCCAGGGGGGGGGGGGGGCACCTAAAAAAAAAGGGGGGGTAGAATTAACCTGGATTTGCCACTGTAATAATACACCTGTTGAGCACTTAGAGACATCATCGAAGTATACATGTACACCAAGAATGTCTATTGCTTGAAGCATTACAGTTAAGTCTATTTTATTACAAAAATACAAACAAATTAAGACATCAAATATTCAAATGGTACATGCAGGTCCCAAAGTGCACAATCATTTCACATACCGGTATTGAACTTTTGGGAGATTTCAGCACCTTAATAGGTATATGTATGTTCATTGAATATACATGTATAAATTATGTTCGAATAAAATAAAAGATAATTGTAATATTTATAGTCGCAATGTGTTTATTTAAGCATGTAAACTAGGAATGAGAGTACAGGAAATGGCAAACCAGATATGGACAAATTTCAGTTTGGAACACGATTTTTAAGATTTTATGATTGTTATATCGAAACAAATTAAATGAAATCCTAAGAACAGCTCGTAAAAAGTATTATTGTGACTTGTTAACCAAGAACAAGCATAACCTTAGGAAAGTTTGGCAAATTATAAACGATTTAATGTGTAAGAAAAATAAAAAAAACTTTCCATTATATTTTATGAAAAATGATGTAAAAGTATATAAAAATGAAGATATAGTAAATGAATTTGACAATTTCTTTTCTAATATTGCTGCAAATACCTTAAAACAAATTCGTCATGATTCTAGACAAAAATTTAGTCACTACCTTAAAAATCCATGTCAAACTTCTATGTATTTTTATCCAACCAATGAATTAGAAATCATCAAAATTGTTAAAGATATAAAATGAGTTATAGCACTGGCTTTGACGATATAAATACTTTTGTTGTAAAAAAAGTAATCTATTCCATATTAACCCCTCTAGTCCATATAGTTAACCTATCTTTATGTTCAGGAGTAGTACCTAATAATCTGACAATTGGAAAGATCATTCCTGTATTTAAAAAAGGCGATAAACACTTATTTTCCAATTATCGACCAATTACATTATTACGATGTTTTTCCAAAATCCTAGAAAAAATTGTTTATAAAAGACTAATTTCTTATTTGGATAGAAATAAAATATTAAATAATTGTCAATATGACTTCAGGGCAGGACATTCGTGTGAACATGCATTAATTGATTTTTAGATAAAACTCTTTTAACTAATATTCATAATAATTTTCACTAATTTGGTATATTTCTAGACTTGTCAAAAGCCTTCAACCTCATAGACCACAACATACTTTTATATAAATTATCCCATTATGGTATCAGGGGAGCAGTGTGGGAATGGTTCCAGAGCTACTTACTTGATCGACGTAACTATACTTCATTTAATAATTATAATTCCCATTACTCGACAGCCCAGTATGGTGTCCCTCAAGGCTCCATACTGGGCCCGCTCCTCTTCCTAATTTATATTAATGATTTATGTACAGCGTCTTCTTTTTTTGATTATGTCTTATTTGCAGACGACACAACTATCATTTCCACCTATAGCAATTTCATTTTTTTGTTAGAAAAAAACAATACTGAAATATGTAAAATAGCCGATTGGTTCGATGCTAACAAACTGATTGTTAATTATGAGAAAACTAATGTTATGTATTTTAGAAAACCTCATGTATCACACAATTCTTTAGATTTTCATATAAAAATGAAAGATCTTACTTTAAATCTTGTTAACTCTGTCAAATTCCTAGGATTTATACTTGATGATAATCTATCATTTAAGGAACACCGTTTTTTTATAAGTAATAAGATGTCAAAAAACATAGGTATATTATCTAAATTACGTAGTACCCTTAAAGAAAAGCACCTGTTAATGCTTTACAACTCGTTAATACTTCCCTATATTTATTATGGCAATATTACTTGGGCAAGTTGTGGCACTTCGAAATTGACCCCTTTACATAGACTGCAAAAAAAGGCTTTACGCATATGTTCGAATTCCCCTTACTTAGCTCCGTCACGCCCATTATTTGCAAGATTAAACACATTGACACATTGATATTCATGAAATCCAAATTGCGATCCTGATGTATTACGTGAAACATAATTTAGCACCTCTTAATATAACAAATCTATTTCAGTATAATAAAGACTACTACCAATATAATACCCGTTCCCACTCCAAATTCCATTTACCATTAGCACATAATCAATCGACTCTTATTGCATTTAAATCTGCTGGTCCTCGAATATGGAATTCCCTCCCTTCTGATGTGATCTCCAGCACTAATGTTACTTCATTTAAAACCAAACTAAAACGTTCAATAATAACTACCTACGTCAAATAAACATGTAATTTCATCTCTCCTCCCTACGTTTTCTTATTTCGCCTTTTCCTTTTCCCCTTTACCTGCATGTTTAGTGCTTAATGTTTTGAAGTTTTTTGTTTTTATCTTTTTATTTTTTATAACTAAGTTTGTTTGTATCTCATGTTTATGCTATGTATATTTCTTTATGTATAGGGTGCCCCATTCATCAAGCCTTGGCTTTTAGGGGCACCCTGACCATTTACACTGTATCAATAATGTTCATACACGCATAATTTGTATATTATGTTTTTAAATGGTTGCATAAAACGAATTGAATTGAATTGAAATGGGGGGGGGGTAGAAGCGAGTGTAGTGGTATGCTCATTTGGGCAAAAGGGGGCGCTAGAGCCATAGAAGAGCCGGGCTGAGTTGATTAATTGTACGATTATTAGTTTGACTTGGTATACACCTAAAAGTTAAATAGCATTAATTATGTTTCCAATAGTATGCCGGGAACGGATAAACAACCCCTGGTTTTGAATTCTTGTATAAGATTAAAGTGTTCATTAATTTTCATTTCGATAAGCATGTTGGAAATGAATTCCTGCATCAAGATGTACAGGTGTTCATTTCCAATAACACGTTAGAGTTAGACAATAGACTGTTTTTCCGGTGACGCGACATTCTCGCGAAGCGATAGACTCCTCCCATTTTTGTAGGTAACTAGTTCAAATCACTCTTATCTATTATGCTTTGTTATTGGTTATAATTCATTAAAGGTATAAATCCTCTCTTAATTGGTCGGATGACCTAAGGGTAGTTAGATATATCCCGTCTTGTTATTGGTTGTCTTCGTAAGGGTCCTCCTGGTTGGCTGGTGATATTTAAGCCTCGTCGGGTGTCGCAGTATTTAAATGCCATGTGCGGGTTTAGTAGTCATATTATTTGAGAGTTGATATTATTTGAGAGTTTATTTCATTCCGTTATCTTGTTTAGGATGTGCTGCTAGTTAACTGTCAATATGGCCGCCCAGCCTCTGAGAGAAGCAGCTTATTTAAAATGTTTATACAATAATTACTCTTCGTTTGTAACGATTGGAGCTTCGGCTGATTTATATAATTAATAAAGTGGACTTCAACTGTAATTCCGAGATTCTTTTGTTTTCATTTATATTTGAACTTGTCATCTCCAACTCATTAACTGGCCCACCACACGAGTTTTAAGTCTAAAGGAGGCTCTACACCCTAAAAGGGGCAAAATATGCAGGAAACTTTTCTCTAGATTTTTTGGCTTGAAATTTATTCAGCCCTGTTTAAATTTTACTTGGTTGAGAGGGAGAGGTATTCACCCCCCTCCCCCCTTTGATCTGCCGACTAAGGCAAATCAACTCTGATTGTTCAATGAAATGGAAACATCCCAATATGATTGCTATAAAAAGACAATACTAGGATAATACAAACATAACAAAAGCAAATATCCCAATACCAAAGGCAGTAGTTATAAAATGACACTTAAAAACTAATGAGCAGTATCATGGGAACAAAAGCGCTGCACATGGAAAGTGCTAAAACAAGTTCGTAAACTCAAGTTACATTTCTCATGTTAAATATTGAATAAAAGATCATATTGTTTTGATGAAAGAATCTATTTTCCCTTTAAACAATCATCCGGAATCCCTAATATCTATAATACTGCTCATGTTTTTAATGATGGAATCAAATCACTTTCACAAAGACCTAAACATCAATAAAATGATCAATTGAAGATACTTAAATTCCAGTATACAATTTGACACGTTATTGTTAGTATTTTCATTTATTTGTTTTGATTTTGGCTTTGTCTGTTTGTCTCGAGCTGTTCCTGTTTTGGAATGGCATTTGTTACTGTGTCTGTTACTGTATGACGTTACTGTATTTGTGACCATGCCTCTTGCCAGTCGATGACGGAACATTTGTCTTTTCTTTATGCAGAGGGCCTGGGTAATTTAAGTGTAACTTCTTTTACTTTCTTCCGAAATAAAGATGACATATATATATGTTATTGTTTAGTATCATTAGGAAGTGTGCTTGTTCCTTTTTTAAAGATACCCCTTTATGTATAATTTTCACTAATGAAATGTGCATATCAAAATAAGGGGCAAGGTCAATGGGGAAAAGTTGCAAAAGGCACTGCTCTTTGTTCAGCTTGTTCAGCCGTGTAGTACATGTACACTGCCTGCCAATACCATTGCTTACATATCCAATAACAGGTTAACACATCATGTTATTATTCCCAAATTCACAATAATGTCAAGCCCCAACATAAAGCCTCCTCCTCCTCATCATCATTAAAACACTGTCACCTCTGACCATCAACTACCATTTTCCCGGAAATTTCTGGATCTTCCAGAGCAGAAAGAGAAAACAAAGCAACATGATCATCAAAATTGAACACTTATCTTACAGGTCATGGAAATTTTGGCAAGTATTTCACTTAGTACACAAGAATTGCATAGTTCGTTCAAAAGGCAAAATGCATATTCTAAGAATTCATGTGACATGAACTGGAATCATTTCTCGTCATCACTCTCAATTTCCGAGCCTTCACTATCTCTTTCGATTTCACTCTCCTTGACTCCATCTTCTATCATCATACATAAACTTGAAGGAAGTATACCCTGGTAGTTGATGTGGTGTCGTAAGACGGCTCTGATGGCTCCTTCCTCTAGGCGTAGTACTGCAGTTGGTGGGCTCACCAACATAAGAAATTCTGGATCACACTCATACTCGTCATCCATTGCATGCTGTTCCAAGATACTGCAGGCAGTTTCTTCATCGTTATTCACCACATCTACCGGACATCCGTGACGAACAAAGATTCTGGTAAGATCCGCAAGATAGTCATGGTCTCTAGCTGCTTGGACACAGTGCGCCACTAAGTGGAGTATGTTGCTTCCACTGCTGTCCACATACGAAGCATTATCACAGAACAAGATCTTGGATATTGTAAACTTTACTCTAAGAAGGGCCCTGGAAGACATTCCGCAATAAATGTTGTCACCATATGCTTCTCCCAGAAGTTCCATGATTTTAAAGGCCACTGAAGGCATCTCAGGATACTGGTCAGAGTTTTCCCTAAGGATTCTACATTGGATGACTGTCAGTGACTTCCCTATGGCTTGCAATGTGGATTTTAAGATCTCAATGTTTGAGCAATAGAATGCCACATTAAACAGTATTTCACCAAAGCTTTCTATGAGAGATTCCTTATTATCTAGTAGAGAGTCCATTGGTACGTGACTAAGAATTGATTTGTATGCACACAACAAATCCCTTGCCCATTCATTGTACTGCGCATTTGGTTCTTTGTCCTCCAATATAAATGATCCACTTTTTTCAGCAAGGTTTACTGCTACTGATCCTAACTTTAATTCACCTTCATGCTCTCGACCGAGGGCAAAAGACAATACTTGAAAGCCTTCTTCAAACATTTTCTTTTCAATCATCCAATCACTTGCAAAGCTAACAAGGGATGGATACAGATACTTCTGCTTCAGATTATTGGGAAACAGTCTTTCCCCCACCAAAAAAGCATGGGCCTTCATAGCAACTTCAGATGCCCTGATCAAAAAGATTTCCTCTTGTGTGTGGCATTCCTTCAGGGAGATTTTGGAGAAACACGCTGCAAGTTCTGAAGTCTCTGTTTGTGCTTCTGGAAGACTGGAATCTTGCTGAAAGGATATGGCCCTTGTGAAAGAAGGATATGCCTCTTTAAAACAGTGACGCTCATCCAAAGTAGCCTGTGAAACTCCCAGTATTTCAGTGGCTGTCATCTTGACCTCCAAAGAAATATCGTCCATCGATAAGAGGAACTCAACAATGTCCGTCAGGAGGTATAATGCAGCTACATATACTGGGCTCCATCCATTCAGGTTTTCTTGAACAGCTAGTGCTCCATTACTTACAAGCAGCTTGATAATAGCAAGCTTGGCGGCCATCCACTTAGATGGGCGATAATAGCTACCAGATAAAGAATCCTCCGCTAAGGGTTCTTCTACCATGCAAGCAAAATGCATTGGGGTGTCGCCATCCTTTACACTCCTAGAGTTGGGGTTAGCCCCATTTGCTAATAAGGACTGTACAGTGTCTGTACGAGCATACCAGCATGCTAACATCAGTGGTGTTTTACCATCTTTGTCTGGTAAATCAATTTGACCCTTTTCAGCATACTGCTTCAACACTTCTTCATCCACCGAACCTTTACAAATCAAAGTAGATAGGTCACCTGCTGGGTCTGAAGAAGTTTCACCACTGCTACAGGTAGATGCCATTGTTCCAACAACAGCTAAGGCAACATCCTTTGGGATTTCCTGCAAAACGGAGACAGAAAACAAACAAATGAAAATTAATTAACAAACAAATTAAAATTAATTTAAAAAAAAACATCTTCCCTAAATCAACCATGTCAATTATTTACTGTGAGGGATGTTTATCCATGGGTGCGTTTATCAAATTTTGCTTCTCATCAACAGCGTTCCTATACATACATATCGAAACACAGTGTACGAACGTGATTTGCGGGATGTCGCGTTTATCAACTCATCATGCTTAAAAATGAAGGCCTTGTCTCTGCGCAGCTGCTTTAATTTGCTCAGAGGTCAACTAGGGTGCACGCTTTTTAATTTTGGATCTAACTACTAGTACTACATACTAGTAATATTGTGAGAGGTAAACATAAAGGATACTAAATAGCGATCTTCTTGTTAACATGTGCAGCGATGTAGTGACAATGATGAGAGAAAAAGCTGTCCCACGAGAAGTACTGACCACAGGAACTCAAGCCTGATGTCAGAAAGCACTTATTTTTTATTGAAAGTGACAGTCAAGATGACAGCAAATTAGAGTGAAGAGTAATGATGATAATAGCACTGTCAATGAAAATCAGTCAAGTTCAAAAGCAAGTTTTAAATCCTCACTGTACTAATTATAGTTACTTGCGCCCTCTATATAGCAAACAATCTGTGCCTGTTAGTCCCCCATGATCCCCTTTTTTATGTTAATTGAAAGCTGATTTGATGAGATAACCACCTGTCAGTCACCTTACAAGGAGGTCTAATTCCCCCTGGGCATACTAATACAGACATACAAGAACCCCCTTACAAATGTAGACTTCATGTTAGAGGGAAATGATTCGCAATGCAATCTGGAGGATGGTTTACAGAGGAGTTGCAATTTATATTGCAAGAGATCTCTACCACCTTGTCAGTGAATGTGATTTGCAGCACAGTTTCCGTGAATCAGTATGAATCTTAACTACTCTAAGAGGCTCAGACAAACTACTGATTGGATGCATGTACAGAAGCCCATCACTAGACAACCATGAGGAACTAAAACAAGCATTTACACAAGTCACATCAATCAACACCTCCCATATGCCCTCATAGCAGGATACTTCAACTATCCCAATATTGATTGGAAGCTTGGAAGAGCAAGGACCCATACAGTACAGGAGTTCATTGAAACTGTCGCTGACTGTTATCTAAACCAACACATTGGTGAACATACCAGATTTAGAGAAGGCCAACATTCCAGTATACTATTTCTGGTTTTCATGAATGAGGAAGGCATGATCAACCACATACACTATGTATCTGGAATCGGAAGAAGTGATCATATTGGAATCCTCTTTGACCTTACAGTATACACGAATGACAACCACAACCCAACTCCTCGCTTCCAATTGCACAGAGGGCAGTATGATGATAATGTGTAAAGAGCTAAACCAAATCAAGTGGAATGAAACAACCTCTCCTCTGTAGTTGTGGAGAGCAAGTCACTAAACAGCTTTAAATCCAATTTGTTGAAATTTTGGTCGTCAAAAAAAGATCAATTTGACCCAGAGGAGTCCTTCACTTGACCATGTTCGTCAATTGCTGTATAGCGCCACTAAACATGTGCCAAAATATGGATTCTTCATCCGAATGTCAACGAGAGGCAAATAAGTTTTTAACTTTAAATGCCTACTTCCAAGGTATATCCAAGGTATATCCAAGTGGGATTCGAATTGGAGAATAAAAGTTCAGAGGATGCTCAGGAGTTTCTTGTAGACACCCGGACTGAGATAAAAGGAGAAGGTCATATTGAAGTCAAAACCGAAACACCGCAGAAAGAAATAGAGATGGATGATTAGAGAGGCTCTGAGGAAACAAAGCCAGAAACATTGAGCTTAGAAGGAGGCATAGAAGACCAAACATCCTGTGGGCATCATCAGAACAAGGAGATTAGCCAAATTAATGCAAACTCTGACCAAGCAGTTATGCAAGTATTTTGAGAAAGACCCGACTATGAATGTGAAATCAAATCCCAAGGCATTATGGAGGTATGCAAAAAGCAAACTCAAAACCTCTTGCAGACTAGGTGAACTCCGGACGGAGATCGTATATCATCTGAGAAAGGAAAAGCGGATGCATTGAACAACTTCATTGCCATTACATTCAATGATGAAGGTAAAAGGCACATTCCAAAACTCCCACAAAGACACACAGGAAACTCATTAACATCTATCTCAATCTCTAAAGTTGATGTTTATAAGAAGCTTGTCCACCTGTCAAAGTACAAATGTACTGGACCTGATGGCTTCCACCCTTGGGTTCTGAAAGAAACAGCCGCCTCATTTACAGAGCCCCTCTCCATAATCTATTATGATCATTGAAGAAAGGCAACTACCAAGAGCATAAAAGGTCATTCATGTGGTACCTGTCCACAACAAAGCCAGTAAAATTGATGTTAAGAACTACTGTGTGATTCAAAAAAAAAGTTTACACCTAGAAAGTTGCTAATTATTTAAAAAATAATCTATGAAAAGTATATTATTATACATCTCGTGAAAGAGTGTTTTATCCCAAATCATTTGGTATCATTTTTGTTTGGTATGTGTTCACGCTTGGATGAACAGGAAGTATTGTTTGCGAGAGTGCAAAAATTGACTTGCGCCAAACTAATGACTACTGTATGTATTATGTGGGGATTAGCGGAGTAAGAGAATGAATTGAATGTATCAAATGAAAATGCATTGCATATGCTTTTTGCAGCAGCAAAGTCGCACACACACACACGCGCGCACGCATGTTCGTTGATATTTCATATTCGATAATTAATATGTGTGGCATGAATAATTCTGTTAGGGATGTTATTTGGATCTGCAAAGACCGAATTAATACCCAAATTCCAATTGTTTTATTCAAACATCACATAAGCAACTTTGGCGCAAGTCAATTTTTGCACTCTAGCAAACAATGCCTCCTGTTCATCCAAGCGTGAACACATACCACACAAAATGATACCAAATGATTTGGGATAAAACACTCTTTCATAAGATGTATAAAAACTTGCTGTTCATCGATGATCTTTAAAATAATTAGCAATTTTCTAGGTGTAAACTTTTTTTTGACTCGCACTGTACAGACCAATCAGCTTGACATCAGTACCATGCAAAGTTCTGGAGTCACTCACTCAAGATGAAATACCGGTAGTGACCCACCTGATGGAAAATGAGTTACTGTGTGATGAACAGCATGGCTTCCTTCCAGGACGCTCTTGTGTGACACAGCTTCCGACTGTCATGGAGGCATGGACTGATATGCGGGATAAAGGAAGCGCCAGACAGGATCGGGTTTGGACAATTAGCGTTTCTGCTCCAGACAACTTATCAAGACACCCAACTACGAGAAGGAACTTCAAGGAAGCAACATAAAATTGAACTGAAAGCCTGACTACCGAGAACACAGCATTCTTCCAGAATCTGGGGTAAAGGTAAAGGAGGAGAGACGTCGAGGGTTACAGTGATTTAGTTTGCTTTAATTCCGCCCCCAGGCACAGGCGATGACAAATAATGATGATAATAATAATAAAGAAGATAACAAGGGGATCTATCTCCAGTTTCAATTATTACATAAATTATTAACATGTTCATGTACTCCATACAGTCATAATGCAACAGAAAATATATATATATACATGTAGAGCTGTTTGTGTAAACAGTTTTGTTAGTATTGAAATTCCTGCATAATTAAGATAACTGTAAATATGACAAAGTGCAAATGATCCAGCTAGCTATGCGAGAGTTCACCAACAGGTTTGTGCCAGAAAGTGAAATTTGCTGGGATTCATATACTGTATACCGTCAATCAAAGGTGGCCCTCCCACTTCCAGGGGGCAGTAGGGGCACACAGTGTCCACCTCCCCCCCCCCCCCCCAACTTTCTCAAGCACCCCAAAACTGCCCCTTTTTACATAAGAAAAGTGCCTCTTTAACCTTGTAAGAAGTGCCCCTTTTTACATAGAAATAGTGCCCCTTTTACTTTGACAAGTGCCCCTATTAATTTGTAAAAGTGCCCCTTCCCCTTTTCCTTCGACAAGTTTTCCATTTTCCTTTGCAAAAATTGTCCTTTATCCATTCCCCTCGTGCCCTTCTTAATCTCTATAGTAAGTGCCCCTTTTCAGGTACGAGAAGTGCCCTTTTCATTTTTGATAATTGCCCTATTCAAATCTGAGAGGTGCCTCTTTTACTGTGACAAGTGCCCCTTTTCCTTTGTAAGAAGTGCCCCTCCCCCTTTTAATGACTACCCCCATTTTAATTGGCAGGGGTGATAGTGAGCACTAAAAAAAAAAAATTTTGTTTTGTTTTCCCCTCAACCACGCCCCCCTTGAGTAAAAAAAGAGAGAAGAGGATTCGCGGGGAAAAAATGGCATCTAACAACATTCCCCCCTTTCGAGTAAGAAAATTGGGGAAAAAATAGGGCAAAATAGGGAAGATTAGAGAAAATAATTTTTTTCATATTAAGCCGGTGGTGTGCCGCTCTAATGCCTGGGTCACTTTTTCTTTCACAAAAAAACACATAACATGGGTCCCACTTTAGAAAAAAATACCATTAAAAACAAGTCTGTTTTTTCAAACACCTGAAAATTGTGAAAAATGGGCCTTTTTCGAGAAAAAAAAATTCAGCAATATGACCCTTATAATAATGGGTAAGAGTTACGAGGGTCGAGCGGCACACGTACCCAGTCCAAACCAAATCTGATTCCCCCCCCCCCCCCCCCCCCCCCCCCCCCCCCCCCCCCCGCGCTTTGAAGGTATATAATTTAATATGAAACACGCAGAAGCTGATGGAAGTTAGTATTATGCACTCCAGATAGAGTCAATGCTATGCGTATTGACTCTAGCACTGCACTACGTGCTAATAGGCAGCACTTGCACACATGAAGAGTCGACGTCAATACAGCAAACAGATGCACACAATCATGCCGATGTGGCTGTTAAAGGTAAAGACCAGTTATGGTCATGCGATTGCATTGTGAAAGAAACGTTGTGGAATCGATCAGAAAAGGTTGATTATCTAGCATCTAGCATCTGCAAGGTTCTGGAATCATCAAAATGATAAGAAATTTGGCCCGTTCTCCGTAAAGTTACAAGCACTATACACAGAAAGATGTAAATGGGACTACCCTATATCTCTCACAGACAATGAGAGAAACAAATTTACCAAATATATGAATTAGTAGGTGGTTTCCCGGCAAATTTGTTATTATCATGTATTAGTCAAAACATATTCTTTCACATGATTGGTAATGAGAGCTTCCATTTCATTTTTTGAAATCGGGGCGTTTCCAATACTGGTCTTTACCTTTAAAAACATTTAACAATTTCTCCCAATCATTCTTACGGGTGTAAACAGGGGTAGTTATGTCTCTTGATATGATTCGCTCTAGCTCAGTCCGCAGGGGAAAGCTATCACTTACACCCAACCAAAATAGCACCAAGAATTCAGGCAGATCTGAGTGACCTGCAAGAATTTTGATGCATACAGATCTTTTACCAAAGTCGTCTTGAAGCTACACAAAGAAAATTCACTAACAACTCATAATTAGAACAAATTACATAAGGATGGAAAGATTGCTGAGAAATCATATAGATATCATGGAAAGGCGTAAAATGCAATTTTTCAAGACCCCCCTTAGACCCCCGAACGCCCCTGAACTTAAGTCAAACACACAAGCGTAGCGAGCTCTGAATAGTGACGTCACACACTGGACGAACAGCTCAGTGCCGTGTAGCAGTATGCAGCTAGCCAGTCGTGTCCTGTATGTGACGTCACAAATATTGACGCTCTACAAAGGACCGCTGAAGGCAGAAAATCTGGATCTCAAAACTAACAAACATTTTTTAGAGTTGATTACTGCGGGCCCCAAACATATTTTGAAGAGAAGAGTTGTTGTATTTGATCGGCAAGGCTTCCCCTTCGCAATGATACAGAGACGCCAAGTTCAAAGATCAGCAATGCGTGACATTTTCATGATTCGGCGCGCAAGCGCGCGTGAGAGGGTATAACATACATATAACGTATAGCGTTGTTTCAAAATCTAGCGCGCACATCGTGCGTAAGACCAAGAGCATTTTCAGACCCTCGAAATGCGTGATGTCAGCTAATGCGTGATACTTGGTAGCTCTGATGATATGAGTTTTGCATCAATTCAAAACACTTTTGATTCTTTGTGTGGCTACTTTAAAGATGAAGTTGAGTTCTGGTCATGCGATTGCATTGTGAAAGAAACGGTGTGGAACCGACCAGAAAAGGTTGATTATCTAGCATATAAGAATTTGTGTGTAATGCAAGGTTCTGGAATCTTCAAAATGATAAGAAATTTGGCCAAGTCTTGGTAAAGTTACAAACACTTGCACAGAAATATGTATATGGGACTACACGAACACGTGGCGTAAAAAGCCGGCCCCCGGTTTTTACGATGTTACATGCATATTTAGAATATGAAGGCATTTGAAGAGCCATGCTTTTTCAGGGAACATGTCTTAACTGATGTTCTTCCACACTTGCACAATAAGAATGAGTAATGCTTACAAATTATTTTTCACCTCTTCCCAGAACTCAACCTTCTCTTTAAGCGAGTTTGATAGTAGACTAGACTCACAATTTTAATGTTTAAATTATTCTTTCTAACAATCGGTGAGTTGAAGAAATTGTATTTTACTGCTATATTTTAGGTGTCATCATTTGTCACTAAAGCTAAGATCTAGGCCTAGAGTCTACTGATTTTTAGTGAAATCAGTCAAGTTTTGTACAGTACGTGGTGTTTGAAATGTTGAGTATCAATAGCACAGCTTTGAATACACAGCCAGGATAGTAATGTACCTATGTCACATACATGTACATGTAGCTATGACACTCATCATCATATTCATAATACTCACACATAACATGTGTGAGTAGGCTTAGACTATGTTTATGTGTGAGTAGAGGTCTAGTAATATGAATAGAGTCTAGACTAGATCTATCCATCTTTGTAAGATTGGAACATTGTTTTTGTGTTCTACAAAGTGCAAAGTGAAAGCTGATTGGGACCCCATTCTTCGAATTGCCTTTAGCTTTGGCAAAATGTTGGGAAGGCATGTTGAAATGAGAGGTCTAGATCTAGACTGAACGTAGAATTTGTTTTTAAAAAAGCCAACTCGATCGAGTCTTCCCGGTCAAACTCAAAGATCAGTCCCACACGTAGCAATATGCGTAACTTGTATTGTTTGGTTTTACTCAAATTTTACCTAGAATCTAGGCCTTACCTAAATTAAAAATCACAAAGATTCATACCTCGTCAGCTTTCAGATGTTAACGCTGGAGCACTCTAAATTTAAAATCTGTTATTAATAGTATGTATACAACTATAATGGGCCTGGAACAAAAGTAGACAAATTTGGTTCTCCTTCGATCGGCCTCGTCGCTCGCTTCGTTGAGGTAAGACTAGCGAGGGGGGTGTTCAAGCATCACCCCTAATTGGCCTTGGCAAACAGGTGTAACACTACCCCCCCCCCCCCCCCCCACTTTTTTTTTCAAATTGGGGGTGTTTTAGAATTTTAAAGACACCCTTTAATCTGTATCTTATCTATGATACCCCCCCCCCCCCCTGGCCTGGCAAAACTTAAAAAATAAAGTAATAGGTCTACTTGGGTATACCAGGGAGGTGAGACTTTATTACAAGCCCTGGGTATACTTGGGTGTAGAGACTGGAAGCTTGGCTTATTTGTCCCTCTTTACTGCTGCATCCCGTCTCACATATGGTTCAAACTTAATTGGATTGTTTCTCCAATACCTTTCTAGGGATGACTTGAATTGGTATAATGGTGGTAGAATTGACTACTTCCTTAGGCAGAGCATTCCAATTATTTACACTCCTTATTGAGAAACTATACTGCCTAAGTCTTGTGTTGAAACGTTGTTTGACAATCATGAAATCATGGCCTCTTGTTGTTGAGCCAGTTGCTAGTTGGAAGAATTTTGAAGGGTTCACTCTGTCAAAGCCTCTCAGGATTTTGAATATCTGTATCTGATCTGCTCTTTGTCTTCTGTAAGCCAAAGTAGGAAGTTGTAGTTCTTTAAGTCTGTCTGGGTATGCCTTTTGTCTCAGCTCAGGAAGAAGTCTGGTGGCCCTCTGCTGGACTTTTTCTAGTATGTCTTCATCTCTCTTGAGTATTGGGCACCATACAGAGTTGCAGTATTCTAGTGTTGGTCGAATAATAGTTTTGTAGAGACTAAGGAACCCCTTCTTTTGCAGGGCTGAAAACTACCTTCTTATCATTCCTAACTTAATGTTTTGTTGTTTTTTTGCTCAAAGAGAGGGAGTGAGGGGTGGATGTGGAGAAGAAAAAAAAGGAGTGTTCACCAGAAAAAACAAGTAAGAAATGTTTTGTTTATTTGCTCAAGAGCTATGGGGCCCGGGTGATGTTGA